AGGGAACAGTCTTCGATTCACAGAAACATGACAGAGGAAGCAGAGGTGGGACCTGGCTCTTCTCAGACTCCCTTGTACACTAGACTTGACGGCTCAAAGGACAAAGGGGAGAAGACTAGGAGGACAAAGAGTGTCCCCCTGGTGAAGGGAGTAGCTCCACAAATTCACATAAACAACACATTTGAGCTTGAGTCCAACACCATCTCTCTGAGAGAAGGCCTTCCTTCCACCTGCTAGCCCAGTCCACCCTGTCCACAGGAGGACAGCGGGGAGCCTCCTACCTGCCCATCACTCCAGGTCTAAAGCACTTGCTGATTCCACTCAGGCAGGGACCCTCTGCTGCCCTCGTGTCCACATGTGTCCCCCTGATGGCCAAGCAGTTGCCTCGTGGGCCACTTGGGCATCTCTCCAAGAGGCTGTTCCTGCCGGCTCGTCCCCACAGTAACTGGCATATTGATCTCCCATTCAATGCTTTACTCACTGAACACCCAACCCAACCTTCTTCTCCCGGGTTCACCCAGGGTAATCCCTTAACCTTTTTCTAGGAGTGACTTTCCATTCCTGAGTTATTGGTTCATTCTTCTTTGAACTTCATCAATGTCAATGTAAGGAGGCAGGAGAGGGGGGATTCAAGGAAGGAAACGAGGAGATTGGTAATGAAGAGATTTTATGGAGGGGCCACAGAGGGACACCTCCTGGCTCCAGGCGGCCAGGTGACAAACGGGTTCCAACCGTTGAATCGGTAGCTCGCTTGGGGGTTTTACAGACCAAAGGAAGTATTCCCCTAAACCAAGGTCTGACATAATTATGTCCTCCCACAAGGTGCAATCAAGAGCTAAAATGGTGTGTTCTCTTTCTTTTGTTCCCTACACAAGCCTCAGACAAGGAAACTACACCAGGGAATCGTAGAGGCAAACCGCAGTGTGCCCTGGACTGCAGAGTGCCACGTGCTTAAGAGCTCTTTTCCTCATTGTGGTGTCAGAAGGGACGTGGTTAAAAGGAAACAACAATAACAACAAAGATGCAGCACATCGTCTTTGTGAGAAGGAGGTAGTGGAAAGTTTTCAGGGACCACACACAAGGCATCCACCCCACGGGCAGCTTAATGGGAACCGGCAGGTACTTACAGATGGTCCCGGGTAGCCAGGGTCTCCCTTCTGTCCCACTGTCCCTGGAGGCCCTGAATTTCCCTGCAGGGGGCAGAAAAGCACCGTTCAGCTGTGGCAAAGGAAGGAAATTCGCAGCTCCCACCATTGGAAAGGCGGGTGAAGATGATCTAACCCGACGCCCCCCATCACCACAGGGAAGCTCTCATTTTCAGGATTCCCGTGTCTCCAAGATTCAAATGTAAGGACAAGAGACTCTCACAAAACTGATGTGCATCTCCAACAACTGTGCACTCTGGGAGGTTAGGGAAGGCAGATGCTTCCCTAAGAACCATGAATGAGACTGCCCAGGAATGCACAAGAAATCAGTAACTGATAATTAATTAGGTCACTGTTGGCGTACACAACCAATTTAATGTTTACAAACCCCACCTTCATTTAAGCAGTAACTGATCTAATTTGACTGTCTTCACTGAGCAAATGAACAGGACAATTACGGTGAGTTTAATTATATTTTAGGCTAAAAATAACTGTTAGAAACTTTTACCTGTATCTAGACCACAATTTGTTCATTTAAGACTCAGTGCAATTTTAAGGGGGTGAGTAAATGTCCCCTGAAGAGAGGGATGCAGAACCAAATGCAGCTTAAGGAAGAGGAGTTCTACCATGATGGGAGGCGGGAGCACAGGGTCCTAGCCTGGCTTGCCTCTGAGCCCGGGACCCGCATAAACACAGCACGCACCCCATGATACCCTGTTGCTTCACCATCTGGTGGGCAAGACCAAATATGGTCACATGGACTCTGACATTACTCGTTTTGACACCTGAGTCCCCCTGGTGCCATGCAGGGAGAGGACCATGGACTTGTGACCCTTGAAATGTGTTACAGGAAGGGGCTCTCGGGGTCTCCCCAGAAGGGGGAAAACACAGCCATAGCCACAGGTGGTCCTGAAAACATGGGCCTTCAGCTTAGAATTCCTTTGCTCCCACCCCATGCTATCACTGGCCAGGTTGCAGGTGACAAAGGAGAACTTTCACAGAAGTGGTGGAGGCGTCAGGGTTGGGCCAGCCTCCCACACGTTCTCATTCCTATGGCAGCCACGGTCCAGGCAAACTTACCCTTCGACCTCTGATGCCTTTGGGTCCTGGTGATCCCCCTGTTCCTGGGTCACCGGGGGTACCCTGAGAAGAGAGCCAGGAGGCGGTACATTAGCTCTAGAATGGAAGGTGGAGCCGAGGGTTCCTGGGGCATCTGGACGACACTTCCCGGAGCAGCCAAATGGCTGACTTTGGTTACTTTCCCACTGGGTTACTAGTACATGTGTGTCTTGCAGGTTTAGCCTTAGCTTGTTGAATCAGTAGTAATAACATCATGAAGATACATCATTTTAAGGTCTACAAAGTATTTTATTGCATTTTCATTTAATCCTCAGAAGTACCAGGACAAGTGCATACTGTCATCTCCATTGGACAGATGAGGGACTTAGAGAGTGGGCCTTCCCAAGGTCACTCAGTCCATAAGTAGCTGACCCAAGACTAGAACCAAGATATTCTGCTTTGCAGCCCATGGACACACTAGATTCATACTAAAACAGTGGCGATGTGTTACCACCAGGGGAATATTTACCTTTGGACCTGGGTATCCAGGAAATCCTCTTTCTCCCTATAAAAGATAAATAAATAACTCAATATTTGGTCTCAATTTAAATTTATCTAAAATAAATTATCCTTGAGCAGAAAAAAATACATATATTTATAGAGTCATCAAGAGAAAAAATTCACTATATCACAATAAAATTTTGAGAAAGGGTTCTGTACAAATACAATATGCCAGACGTATATACCTTTTTGCCTTTGCGTCCTTCACTGCCAATCCCATCTCGGCCATCATCTCCCTAATTGTGGAAAGACAGCATTACTGCAGGTCACCATGTTGGGCACGCCATACCCACCTCTGTCTAAAGCCCTGAGCAGGGTCCTTGAGTCCCTGAAATGTTCCCAGATCGAGGTATAGCTTAAGGCATTGTTCCTGTTCCTACACCATCTTCCAGGTGTGAACAAGACCATGTCTGTAAGAGGGTGGGCTTAAAGCACTCCTGTGGCAAATGGTACTGGTGGGCCCACCTACTTACAGATCCACTATGGCTGTTGGTAAAGATACTGCTTGCAGGTGGAATCAAAGACTCATTGAACCTGGGAATCTTAGAGTTAAAAGGACTCTTGAAGGTCACCTTGACTCTGTGTGTCTATGAATCTTTAATTCAACTTCAAAGCAAAAACACGGGACTCACTCTCCCCTACCCTCCTGAGTGGTCTGTGCTCAGACCTTTTCCCCCCACCCTGTGTCCCTCCCCTGCATAGATCATCCCACTAGACCAGTGGTCGGCAAACTGCGGCTCGGCAAACCGCGGCTCATGAGACACATGCGGCTCTTTGGCCCCTTCAGTGTGGCTCTTCCACAAAATACCGGCTCTTCCACAAAATGCCAACTTCTGCGCATGGGCCACGAAGTTTCAATCGCACTGTACGTGCGCGCCCACACGTGCTATTTTGTGGAAGAGCTACACTCAAGGGGCATGTGGCTCACAAGCCGTGGTTTGCCGACCACGGCACTAGACTATCTTTTTTCCGACACCTCCTCCCGGACTCTCACATCTGTCCCTGTCACCTTCTCATAGCGGCTTTTAGAACTGCACACAATTACTTCAATCAGACGTTATGTGAAACATGCATCAATATCTCTAAAACATGCGTGGAACATGCTACTTAATTTACAGTTTCAAATGGACATCAACAGTGAAAGAGCCATTGCCCTCAAATTTATAGAAACAGAATCAGAAAGAGATTTTCTTTGATAGTTTGAATGGATTTTAAGTTTGACTTTTTTCCCTCTGCTTCTGAAACTAAGAATAACGGAAATGGATTTTTTTAAACTTCAGTTTGCTGTAGAGAAGTTACATTCACAAGGAAAATATTTTAAAGCTTTAGGATGATAAGACAGATCAACCTGGTCAGTTCCTCTAGTTTTTATGTATACTGGCTTATTTTAGAAAAATTACCAACATTCTGCAGATTTCTTTTTCTTGCATAGAAATATATCCTACAAGATCATTTTAAATAACAATTTTTAAATGCGTTATCAAGGTAGCGATTTCTATTCCTGGCATGTCTCATTCAAAGGGAACTGTTTCAAGCTGGCTTAAGACCTTATCAAACCCAATTCCATTTGAACCCAAGGACATGTATTTCTTTGCAGAAAAGCTCCATGTGGAAGTGTTCACAAAGCTCATAAGCCCGAAGATGAAGGCGGTCAAACCTTATTTGACATTTATTTGCTGGTTATAAGCAGCAGGTTTCACTATTTTCAATCACATCCCCAATGACAGGAGAAGCAACTTCTGAGTTACCTCTGTTTGGAAAGAAACTAATTTGCATTGGCAAAGGCTAGCCTGGCACAAGCCCCACCTCCCGCTTCCTGGGCGTTTCAGCAAAGAGTTAGCGACAACAGCGTATATTGATCTTACCGTCTCCCCACGGGGCCCCCGGTTCCCGATTCCTCCCTTTGGTCCTGGATCTCCGGGCTCGCCCTGCACACAAGAGAGAAAGCTGAGACACCTGAGGGCCCAGGCCCATTTGAAATGAGAGTCCAGCCCTATCTATCGTTCTAGGTGATGCCACTGCCAACTTCAACTTTTGAATTTTGATAAAAATGATCTCTTCAGTGGCAAAGTTCATGTGTCGACTCCTGGAGAAGAATCGGGGAGGCAGGTGTGTGGCCTTTTCATAAACATGGCATGGGGACATGCTGATAGAGAGAGAGAGAGCGAGAGCGAGAGGAAGAGGAGGAGGAGGAGGAGAAGGAGGAGGAGGAGGAGGGGGAGGAGGAGGAGGAGGAGGAGGAGGAGGAGGAGGAGGAGGAGGAGAAGAAGAAGAAGAAGAAGAAGAAGAAGAAGAAGAAGAAGACGACCCAGGGAAACCCAACACCAACAAGAGGCAGAAAATAAAAATTCTGGACTCGCAGGGACACATTTCTTTCACTGAGAAAATGCTGCCCTTTCAGACTGGTTATGTTAAATTGTGGTTTTTCTCAACGTTTGTAGAAAGCAGGTTCTCAGATAGTCAGGGCTCTTAGATCAGCTCAACGTGGTCAGCAGAGCAGCTGTGTGGACCACTAATATTCAAACAAAGTGTGTTCAGCAAGTCTGGTGCTGTGCTATGTGCCCCCCCCCACACACACACACACCCGTTTTGATTGCCCCGAGATGCTGAACTGTGGCCACAGTTCATGGCAGGAACAGATCAGACAACTACAGCTGTTGGCAAGTCCCGGCTACTAGAAAGCCAACCTACTGAGCATGAGCCATGTGTTCCCTGGTGGTCAAGCGTCTCTCAACAGGGAGGCTGGGTGGGAAAGACCAGAGCGGAGGCGAAGGGATGTGCAAATGAAGCAGGTAGACAGGCTGGCAAATGAGGGAGAGGCTGCCTGGGGGGCTGGCTGGGCCTGACCTCCAGAAACCAGCTCCAACTTTGTCCAGACAAACCTTTCTTCCCAGGGGCCCGGTTCTGCCACGTTCTCCCGGAGGGCCTGCGGTCCCTCCGCTCCCCTGCAGTGGGAGAAGAGGAGTGTCAGTGAAAATTCGCCTTCCAAGCCTAAGGGTCTGAATCCCGCCTCTCCCCCAGTCCCCGGGGGTCAGAGCCCCAGTACTTAGTGCCACCCACGGTGCTGGAGACACAACTGCAAACACACATGGCTTGTGCGACTCACAGTGTTAGTGTGACCCGAGGCCAGTTTGCACAACGGTGCAGTTTTCCACATACATTCATATCCCATGTCCCTGAATGGAGGACAAGCACCCAGATTTTATGTGGCTTTTGTCCTTCTGCCTGTGGAGACCTGTGCACACTTATCCGTTGAGTGAAGGAATAAATCAGTGTCCTGCATGTGGCACAGCCCAGTGAGCACAGGAATGACCCCACGAATATGGCAGAAACCAGCTCTCGGTTATCAGTAATTATTGCAAGAGCTCTGCCTCATCCATATTCCATCTCAGATTCTTGATTAATAAGAGCTAAAACAAATATTGGCAAAAAACTAACAGCTTTAAAAATAGGTAAATATCAGGTTTCGAAGTTGGGAGGACTAAGTACACAACGGCTCTCGCCGAGTTCCTGCTTCCACGGCAAAGCATGTCTGTGCCCTTAGGGAGCAACAGGCGGTTCGTTGCCAGGTTTCAGTCACTGCTCTTTTCTGTAACAAATGGTAGGGTGGCTCCCACAGTATCCTGTCGCACACCAGGGACAGCAGGTGTGTAGGACACCTGGTCCCAGCTCGGCTGTAGCTACATGTCCGCCCATCATCACTAACAGCTGAGATGTTGAATTCTGCAGTCACGGCAGATTTAAGGAACATCTTCTGTGCTGAACTGGAGGATGGAGAATTCCATCCACAAAAGAGCGAACCTCAGAGCCAATCTCCAGGGGCAATTATGAAACCATTTGTCATAATCTGAGCATTTCGGTGGATTGGGTTACATTGATGCAGTTTCACGCTGAGACCTCGGGGACAGGCACATCCTGCCTCGCTGACCCCAGCTGGCCCATGTTGGGAAGGAGCAGCATTGGGGCCTAGATGCCGCTGGGGCACCAAGGAAACAGGTTTCTTCCTTCCTCACATACACTGGCTGTGAGGACTGAGGTCAACCCAGGGTCAGTGTCACCAAAGAGTCAGACAAAAGGAAGGTCTGTCCTCAGCAATACCCCACACACAACTGCAGCCTGCTCAGGCCCTGTGCAGTCCGCTTAGCCACACAGAGGGGTGAGCTGAGATGCACTTACCCGAGGGCCAGGAATGCCTTGTTCTCCCATCAGGCCTGGAGGGCCGGTGGGACCAGCTGGACCCTGAAAGAGGAAAAGGCCAAGGTCAGTGCTGTGTTGAGGAGACACTCCAGGAGGAAGCTCAGATGACCTCTGCACTTTCCACAGAGCCCGGAGCCTCACTCCCACTGCCAACGAGGCCCCCAGAGATCACACTTTATCTCCACTGTAGGAGCAGCAGCCCCAGCCCAGAACAGGAATGGGGAAGCTAGTTTTAAAAAACACAAATGTGTACACGATGTTCACGGCAGCAATATTCAGTCTCCAAAAGGTGGAAACTACCCATGTCTATCAACCAATGAACAGAGAAGTAAGCTGTGGTCTATCCATGCAGTGGAATATTACTCAGCCATGAAAAGGAGTAAAGCCCTGTCACATTCTATAACATGGAGAACCTAAAAAACATAATGCTCAGTGAGAGAAGCTGGACACAAAAGGCCACCTATTAACTGATTCCATGTACATGAGATTCAAGAATAGGCAAATCCATAGAGACAGAAAAGAAACTTGTGCCACCAGGAGCTGGGGATGGGGAGATGAGGGAAGACGAGGGGTGACTACATAACAGGTACTATGAGGGTCTCCTTTGGGGGTGATGAAAATGCTTTGATACTAGACCGGAGGTGATGCTTGTACAACATTGTGAATGTACTAAACCCCCCTGAATTGTTCACTGTAAATGATGAATTTTGTGTTCAATTTTGTAAAATTGTCACCTCGATTTTTTAAAAAATACAAGAGCATCTGGGGAAATAGCAAAGGGCGTGCAATCTCCCTGGGTACCAACCTGTGCACCTCTGGTCCCCTGCTCTCCTGCAGAGCCCGGCTGGCCTGGACCACCCCTGTTGCCCTTGAAAGAAGAAAGAGAAGTTGCAGGGTGGGATTAGGATAGTTTATACCAATGTCAGCTCTCTGTTCCAAAGTCCCATCTGGGTGAGGGAACAGGGCCATAATCCCAACTCTACGAGCGACTTCAAAGCCACTGACACAATCACCACATGGAGGCAGCTGTCACTCTGCTCTGTCACAACTATTCTTACTCTTGCCTCACCTTCTCTGCAGGATGGCTTTGGGAAATAAGGATGCTTTGCATATAGCACAGGTGAGAAGACTAAGACACAGAGACATTGTGACTGCTAATGACTGAATAAGTGGGCATGTTGTGAACGAGATGCCCAGGAACTGCTTCCTCCATCTGTCTTTTTCCCTTCATCCCCCCCCCAACCCTGCCCCCACTGTCAATCATTGTCACAAGTTCATTAGAAGAGGCCAAATTTAAGGAGCTAGGAAAAGGTGTAGCTGCTGATTGAGCTACAAGCCTTGATGGCGAAGGAGAGAGGAAGCTTTAGCTCGTGGGTGGGAGGTGGACAGGAGGACAGCCCATTAGAGCACATGGTGAGTTACATTGCGCTGACGGAGAAGAGGCGCCAGCTCCGAGGCTTACCTTAGCTCCTGCCGGTCCCCTTCGGCCATAGCCGCCCTGCAGGAGACGTCACACACACCGTTAGGGGAGACGGGACCAAGCCCAGACTTCGCCCGACTTAACCCACACATTCACCTGCCACCCACTGTGTGCCAGGCCCTGTCAGCCCCAAGGAAACTCCTTCCTGCCTCATCTCAGTCAAGCTTTGCCTCCACGCTGCCCTGTTAGTCACCCAAGTGGAAGTTTTGAGAATTACTTCAGACCTGCCAAGCAAAATAATGACTCCTGGCTGCATAGTCCCAGCCAATTTCAAATAAGGAATGTGAAAGGGGAATGTCAAGCTGTCTATTTTTCTACCATTTTTTCTGACTGTCGGGAGAAGTCATCATAATACGTTAATTATCATGGAAGGGAGTCCCAGACTCTCCACGCCCTGCTGGCCAAGTATAACAGATCCTCTGGTAGGTGAGCAGCCAAGGGCACATGCGTGAACCTGCGAGCCCAGGGGTGCTTAGTTTGGGCTCATGTCTTGGCAACATCTGCCTCTATGCTCCAGGGGTGACCCTCAGTCCAAATAAATGTGGGCTCGCTGAGTAAGTAATCTGCTAATTCCCCCATAGTGATTACTTCCTCTGTGGTGGGGAGGTTTGGGATGGGAACATGGGAACGTCCTGGATAAAACTTTGCAAGGTGAGGAGTTGTGTTCTGGAGACTGTAACAACCAGCGGTTACTGGGCTTGACCGATTGCTGCATCACCCAAAGACCAGTCTCCACTCCCAACAGACCAGCCTGGGATCTTCTGGGACAACCGTTTTTGCTATTATTCATTGTTGTGGCAGCTTCTTTGATGGAAGACTTGGGCCTCCTTCCATGGACAACATATGGACAAGTCGGGGAGGGGTGGGGCCAGGTCAATCCTCCAGGGTAGCAATCTGGCTGGCCCCTCCCAAAGGGTCTGAAGGCCACCAGTGCTCAATGACTCATTGCTCAGGCCAGAGGCAGCCTGTAGAAGCCCTGAGGGGCGGTGTGAGGAGCGAGGTAGCCCCACAGAAGGATGCGCTTTGTCTGGACCTGGGCCCGACACAGTGAAGTCCCAGGGAAGGAGGAGGCCACACTTCCAGGCCTCACCCTGCTGCCAAGGAGGCAACTGAGTCCACAAGAGCCCTCAACTATATCGAATCCAAACCCAAGTGTCCACCTGTGCACAGAATGAAAAGGAATTGCATGCATGACTGTCTGTCACGAAAACCAGATTTGGCCCTGCTCACCAACAGGTGCATGGCACATTGTAACAATTAGGTAGCTTCTCGTTGCTTTTTCATTATATAGCTCAGCAGCATTATTCAAAAATAATACTCAGAACTATTAAGAGAGCATTTTCAAATATTAAGTCTTCTTCTGAATTTTAAAAGCGAAATTATGCCCATAGCATGTCATCTGACTATGGATGAGAGTCATTTCTTCTGAAAGCCCTCATGTCACATGCTCTCTCCAACCGTCCCACAGCTCAGCCCTTAAAACATCGCTACCACTGGGAACCGGCTGCACAGCCCCAGCCAATCTCTGAGCAGAGACATTGCATCCTGAACTGGCCCCTGAGGATTACAAATTCCAAACACTCTTCCGCATATAGGGACCATCTTCTCCCACCTCAAGCTCTGAGTACCCCTGGGCCCTACAAGTTTCCAACTACTTTGTGTCCCTTTGGCTTTAGGTATGAACTCGTCAACAAGAACAAAGATTAGGCATGCAGTGAGCTACTGCAGCTCACATTTCTGATGTGTCTTAAGAAGCCACTGAGAGCCTGGCCAGTGTGGTTCAGTGGTTGAGCATCGACCTACGAACCAGGAGGTCACACAGTTCAATTCCCAATCAGGCACATGCCCAGTTTTCAGGCTCCCTCCCCAATGTGGTGCGTGCAGGAAGCAGCTGATCAATGATTCTCTCTCATTATTGACGTTTCTATTTCTCCCTCTCCCTTCCTCTCTGAAATCAATAAAATATATGTATTTCTAAAAGCCACTGTGAGATGCAATTCTCTAGAAAACAGAGTCTAGTTTCATTGCTTGGGTTCCAGCAGAACACACACACACAAACACACACACAAACCATCACACACAAACAGTTATAAAACCAACAAGCATATGACTCCGTCAGCCTTCCTGCCCTCATTCCCTCACTTGTCCCAGATTCATGCTTCATTTGGATCTTTTAAATATTTAGTGGGATAAAACCTGGCCAAATTTCCTACAGCAGTAAAGATAATATTTTTAAAGCGTCTGTTCAGTGTGTTTTCTGGGATGGGAAGGAAGCAGGTCTGGGGGAGGGAGAAGAGACGGAGAATAGAACAAAAGATAAGAATGAGAGATTTCTCTAAGCAGCACGACTTGGGTGACAATAGTTTCAGAAATTTCTTAATAAGAAGTAGCTGAGTAGCTCTGCCCCAGGCAGGGTTTGGGGGTTTAGGATCTAGGTGGCACCCTAATATCAGGGAGCCCACAGCCCTCAGAGACACTCACGTCCTTGCCGGGATCGCCAGGCCTTCCAGGCACACCGTCTCTCCCAGGGAGGCCCTGGTGTGGGAGAGAAAACGGCGTGAGATTCTCCTCTGCAGAGAAGAGCGTCTAATGCGGCAATACTGCCCAAGACACCACGGGAGATGGGACTGATACACAGAGGGGGTCACCCAAGTAACTTTGTGGGTGCATTATGCTCAGGCGCATTCCCACAACACAAGCCTCTGGCTTGACAAGCACTTTCTGTGAACATCTGGGGGGTTGGAAGGCCTCTTGGAAGGGTTGCTCCATTCCCCGGCAGAGACTTCCTTCACGGGGACACACATGGGCTTCGAGGACCCTCTGCTCCCGACCTCTTAGGTCTACAGCCTGAAAGGCCACTTCCATGGCCTCTAGGCTGGGGACGGGCCCGTGTGGGTTTTGTGTCTTGGCCCTCAGCACAGGGAGTCGAGGAACGTGGAGCATCATACCATGGGCCCAATGTCTCCGGTTTCTCCTTTGGGTCCTCTCTGCTGGCTGTCCCGTCCTGAGTCACCCTGAAAACAACACAGGTTGGAAAATGAGCCTCGTGGGCAGGAAAAGACACCCTAAGTTTGCTTTAGGAAAAGAAAGGTGTTTGTAGCTTTTCTCGTCTTTGATTCTATAAGTGCAAGCAAATGACCATCCCTGAGCCAGGCTTCTGTCCTCCTAGACAGGACAAGGCAAGAAGCCCGGGGCACCGTCCTCCCTGGGGCTAAGAATGATTGGCCGACCCACAGTCAGGGCCAGGGAGGGTGGGATGGATGCTGTCTGAATGGGATCTGTCCACTGGGACTGGTACAGAGCTTGTATTCATGTCCTCACTCATATTTTTCCTGACCACCCGGTCCAGCTGGATTAAAGAGTCCTGAGACCACATTTTAGGGAAATCCTCATGTCTTCCCAGGACAGGCCTTGCAAACACTTATCTCCACAGCCACACAGCAAACACGTCCCCAGCAACCCGAAAGGGAGGGGAAAGGACAAACCACATCTTTTATCAACAAGTTTGAAAGCAGCATCAAAAGTAAAATTCCCCCTTTCAGCCCTCTGTTCCCACAGCCCTCTTCCCCAGACTCAGGTCTCAAATTGTCCATGAGGAATTCTTACCGGGTCCCCTCGAATTCCAGCGTCTCCTCGTTCTCCTCTGTCCCCTTTAGGTCCTTTGTCACCCTAACAAAAAACACATGTGGAGCCTAACCATTAAATAGAATTACACATTTTTGTCTCATCCTTAAAATCCCATTCTTCGACTCACAAGTCTTAAATAGGCCAATGTCAAGCATTTTCTCATTGGCCATGAAGGTAAAATGACTTCCAAATATTTACGATTTGTGCAGGTAATCCACAAATATTTATTAGGGAACCCCTCTGTGCAGACACTGGGATTTATTTACAACAAAACAAACTCAGTCCCTGCCCTGTGAGACAGTCTCCAAACAAGACAATATAATGTAATCTGTCACAGCTGCCAGGGACATAGGGATGCCAAGGATGCAGCCCCAGAGGAGGTCAGGGGAGGTCTCGGAGGAAGCGGTCTTAACATACATCAGTGAGAGACCTAGTCCCTCGGTGACATGTTGATAGTTCCTCCATCCCAGCAGCAGTGGAAATGCACCTACCCTTCTCCCGGGATTCCCTTTCTCTCCGGAAGAACCAGGCACGCCTTTGTCTCCCTGCCAAAGACAACGACAACACGTCATTCCTGGCACAGCGGCTCCCAGAGGCTGAGTACAGTCCCTAGAATCTTCAGGACCAAAGCTGCTAGGACTTAGAGCACAAAGTCACTTACATCTTCCCCGTCAAGACCATCCAGGCCGATTTCCCCCAATTCACCCTGCGAGGGGACAAGACACACAGGTGAGTGTAGATGGCCTTCAGACAAAGAAGAAATGAGAAATGCTGGGAAAGTTTTCAATAGAAAAAGGAAAACAAGCCGAGTACCTTCTCTCCTGGGAATCCTCGAGAGCCCTGGAAAGAAAGGGAAAGAGGACACATTAGCTCCTTTTGGAGGCTGGTCCCTGAGCCACAGGATAGCGCTGCCCCAACCCCAGTGAAGGCCATCTTGGCTGAAAATTCAATATTGGAGATTTATTTGTTTGGGTTGTCTTCTCACCATCGCATGGAGGTCATAAAGCTAATTTTCCTGGACCTGGGCACTGGGTGGTTTGGCTCCTTGGCCAGGAGGGTGGTCCCTGAGAGCCAGGGACTGGGCCCCAAGGCCCCTCTGTGACTTTGCAGTCTGGTAACCTTCCCTTCACCACCTGCTCTCAAACTTCAGCAAATGGAGGAGAAAGTTCATCAGCCCTTGAATCCAAGTATTTCATGCAAAAGACCGGTGAGTGCAGTGGTCTCTCCCTTTCTTTTGCTGCCCTATCTCCTTGGCTCCTCCCGGGGTCCCGGGGCTGAAGCCATGGGCACTGGCCTTCTCCTCGCCCTGGCCCACGTCCTGTCTGTCCTCGTGATGGTTTTCTGGCGGCTGCCTGTTTCCATAGGAAACTATTTCTGCATTCCCAGGCTCCCTTCCCAGTGCAGCCTGCGCTCTGAACCCACCAGACTGCGGGCTGCCTTCCCAGGAGAGGCCCCAGTGGCTGGATGCTGAGAGCAGAGAGACCCAAGCCCCATCCTCCCCCAGGCACTTGGAGAAACTGTCCAATGGAGAAACTGTTCCTCACTCTGGACCTGCTGCTGACCCTCCCCTCCCCAGATGGGCTGATGCTATGGTCCCACACGCACCCCCCGCCCCCGCCACACACACACACACACACACACACACACACACACACACACTGTACCTTTATTCCTCTCTGGCCGGGGCAGCCCTGAAAACCTTGAGTGCCATTCACACCAGGAGGACCACGTTCACCCTGTCAGGGGAGACAAAGGTTTATGGTCATCATGTCTCCACTGGGTCCACAGCTCAGTGAAAGCTCTGCCTTCAAAGAAGATTTGCTGCCAGGAAGCTGCCTGAGCCGAGGGACCCCAGCATCCCTGCCCCCCAGGCCCGGTGCACAGCCTCCCTGGAGGAAGGGGGCCGCCACGCACCAGTTCTGGGTGGGACCTGGGGCCCCTAGAAATGCTTGGCCCTACCGCCCCTCTGTGTGGCCCTGGCTCCTGGCTCTCCAATGAGGCTGTTCCCAGCCCTGACGCTGGCACTGGGATCTGGGACCCCATGACCTCACCTGCTCCCTGTGGGGCCCTTTAATTCCAGGGCTGGGACTTCTTCCAGGGTCTCAAAGCCTCTCGGACCATGTCTGTCCCTGGTACCGTTTCCCAAAGGCTCTGTACATCCTCAACTGGGCCCTGAGGCTATGGACCATCCAAACCTTCTCTGGGAGACTTCCCCTAAAGGGCACCACCCCGATTACAGCCTGATTAGGGTTCTGCTGTCCTCTGCTCCCACCCATTCCCATCTCTGCTTGAGTATTGGAGCTTAGCAGACACTGAATATGCCAGAAACGGTGGCCCTCTGCCTCTGAGGCACTAACCCCGCCCTGAGGAAGTGGAAGCCCGCGCTCCGTAGCCACTCCTGTCACACTTGGGGCATTTGGGGCATCACACTATTTCCATCATGTAGAAATCTGGGTAAAGATGCTGAGGAAGTTAGAAGTTAATGTCTTCTCAGTGAGATAACCAAACAGATTGTGAACACTGAAATCCAACCCCAACAAAGGACAACGAGTGAATAACAATTTCAGAATAAAACAACTTCACTTACGGGTCCACCCTCGTCACCAGGATAACCTCGGTAGCCATCTTCTCCAGAAATACCCTAAAACAAAGTAAATTGGTTCCTGGGTTAAATCCGTGGGTTTTGAGAGCGTCTGTTCTATATGTAAGCATCTCCCTGATCCCCCGCCCTCCCTCCCTGCAGTAGAGTAGTGTTAAAATTCAGCATGGCTTTAGGTGCTCCCCTGAACTTAACAGTTCTCTATGCATTATTTCAATGAAATTATTCTTTCTAGCAGGCTCTCTAAGGCTCCTGATCTACTCAGAAATCCTGTCCATTTCCTGTAACTGAGGCAGATGCTGAGCATCCCAGCTGACCGTCCACAGTGAGTCTGCTCATCGGATCTTCTGTCCTATTACCTGGAGCCCACCCCGCTCCCCTTCCCCATCTCTAGCCAAGGTCAGGACAGACTTCTGAAATCCAGCCTCAGGTATAAGTAAAGGACAAAGCTGCCACACCTTTGGCCCGATGCTGCCGATGGGTCCTCGGTCTCCCCTTTGTCCAGAGCATTTGCAGGGCACCCCACAGCAAGCTTTCTCAGCGATGTTGTCCTGCCAAAAAGTAACAAAAAAGTTCAAGTCTTAATAAGCCTCCAAAAAAACATATATGTGCCCTAAAGGTCAAGATCTAATGTGGATTCCACGGTGAGTTGCAGGCACCCCCACACAACATTCACTCACAGACCAGCTTAGTGGCTTAACCATCAAGATGGGGGAGGGAAGTTACTAGTAGGAGACAAAAGAACAACCAAAGTAGAATAAACCTTATTCACAATGTCACCTCAGGCTGGGCCTTATTTCTAGAAGATTCTAACATACATAGTCAAGTTTCAAATGGCAAGTATAACTTGTATATTTTTAAGCTCCAAGGAGCAAAACAAAGGAATTGCAGATGGTCAGGTCAGAAGGTGGTTCCAAAATGAAGATCCTTATGCTCTTCCTCAGAACCATGGTCAGAGTCGTGGACTATGGCGCCAGCCTGGAGGAGGCCTGGGGGCAGTCTGGTGTGGGCAGACACAGGCAGTCCTGCCTCTAGCCACAAGCACGCGACTCTGGGTCACCAGTGCCTCTATGGCCCATCACACACCCTGGATGCCCCCTCCCACCCCAAGCCCGGACTTCCCATGGTGAAGCGCAGACCCAAAATCCATGTCCATCTGCTAAACCCATGGTGGTCAACTGTGCTTCTGACAATGAGCTTCCTAGTTTTCACTGTCTCCCACATCCCAGACTCATCCCCTAACTCAACGTCCTTCCACCAGTTTTCAAAAATCCTAATTCCTGTGCTGGGAAGAAGACAGAGGGAGGGCAGAGTCCATTCGTCCCACGCCCCACTGCCGCCACCACCAAAGGACCTCAGGGTCAACCACTCAGCCCACATCTCCCAGGGGCCCCACCCACACTCCCAAATCTCCGGCTGAGAGAGGCTGAGCTCCTGAGGGTGAGGAGCCCCAATGGCGCCTTCATTTGCTCCACAGGAAATTGGAAGGGACGGCAATCAAAGCACTTCTCCGCCCAAAAGTGATCCTCCTTTCCTGCACATTCTTGTTTCATCGTGCAGGCTTTCTGAGGACACTTTCTGTTTGGGAACGGGCAATCTCAACCCTTTGCCTTCTCAATAATTAGGCATGAAAACATTCAGGAAAGGGAGCCGAGGAAATGCCAAGGCGGCAACATCGCACGCCTGGGCACCCGGGGCCCAGCTCGTGGCCGCTCCAGCTCCCAAGTATCTCCAATTCCAGGACTCATACTTGTTATGGCAACAAGGCAGGTCCCAAGCGTATTTAATGGGTTAAATCACCCACCCAGAAGCCCCTCTCCCATCTCCCTGACTTCATTGTCTTGAGAAGCCAAACGCTGTGGCATCTGCACTGATCTGTGTGTGGAGACGTAAACCTCACCAGCTGCTCCGCAAGCTCGTAGTCCAGGTCCAGCAAGTTGAGCCTCAGGGGCCTGTTGTACGTGAACCCTCGCCCGAACTCCAGCTGCATCAGCTGCTCCAGGTTGGCCACGCGCTCCAGGCCCACCAACATCAGGGCTCGGACACCTGCGAGGATGGGCGTGTTTCCAAGGGCTCGCTGGGGCCCTGAGAGCCACAACGTCTTTTGGGGTGTTTTGTTTTTTTAAGAAAACTTTAGTATATAATTTGCCCTGTAACTGAACCATGTTTAATCAAGCTAGTCAACCACTCTGAAGTGCTTGGAACTCCTCAGAGCAATGGTCTCAGATGTGTCAGTAAGTCAACTGGTTAATAAAAATACAGGAAGCGACACCATGAAGTGTATGCATAAATTCTCAAACTCTGGTCCTACCTCACACAGGTATAATGTGGAAAAAATGAAAAGTACCACATCTCCCAAATCAGGTCGGAGCGTTCTTATCTCCATGGCTCGGGAAAAAAAAACAAGCAATACACAGAATGTTCTTATGATAATGTATGCTTCGTAAGTCCTTCTTAACCCCCTGGTGTGGACATCTACTTTTTGGTAGTCAGAGCTACAAAATTCCAAAGTCATGGACAGACAAATATTACATCCGGTAATAGGCACCGCAGCTTAACCAGTCACCCTAATTTGGAAAGTATGCTGTTATTTACTTTCTATTAAAGTATGTGTTTACTTCATGCTGTAGTCTTGTTGAGCTGTGATAACTGCAAACTGCTACAAAATTAATCCCTAGTTTATGGGATGTGGCTAAATGAAGCAAATCTTCATGTTCTTTTGCAATAGCACCATGCTTTCTAGATGTTGCACCACCTGAATGAGTCTGAAAACCTGCGGGGCCCGTGCCAGGACTTAGTCTGTGGTACGTATGGCATCCTGGGTAGCCCCTTCCCATAGCCCCAGGCAGGCAACTGAGAGCCAAGATGCCAAGGAGGAGCTCGCCCCAAGGACTCGGTAAGCAATTCCTGTCTCCCCAGCAGAGCAGTGCGTCTGCCTCCCCCACGTCTCCACTTCCCGTTTAGAAAGCCCCAGAATCTACCTTCTTGTCGAAGTTCCTCCGATGCCTTTTGTAAATCAGCCAGATCTCCGTCCACCCCATCAGTAAAATGAATGACCACCTGAAATTAAAGGGTGGGGGTGTCAGACTCCAGCCAAAATTAAAACGAAGCATCACAGAGCCTGGTAAGGGAGCTTAGCCGGTTCAAACCCCTCATCTTACAGTTGAGAAAACTGAGGGCCAACCACCCCATGTTCGTAGCTCTCTGCTCTTGTGCAGTTAGTCAAGTGGAAAGTGAAGGAATTGCAGTGGTTGATTTATTCAAAAATACAAGCAGCGATGAAAATAAGAACAGTTATCTCACTCTCCTAGTTATGTGATGTCGTTTCTAGAAATCGTGTGTGTGTGTGTGTGTGTGTATGTGCACATAATAAATACATATGTATGTACACACAGGGAGAGAAATATGTATAGAGAACAGAACTATTTAATGGGTAGGACTATAAATATAAATTAATCACAAATTAAAGTTATTCAAACTTAATTTCTGATTATGAGGATTTTTTTAGAGCTTAAGTAAAATTATAAAAACAAGGGAGAAATCACACTTCAGAATGTCATGAGTTGAATACAGGCATGAGCAACCCATCAAATGTGAAGAGTGTTTAGGGGACAACAAGGTGTTCCTCCTGACGAGGCAAGTCCAAATATGGCACAAGAAGCTGAACATGGGCCCTGCTCACCTTCACACTGTCGGGCGAGGACTGCCTGAACTTGCTCTGGTAGGCCTTCAGCGTGTCCGCAGTGAGGACGTAGGGGTGCTGGCTGCGCATGTTCCGGAACTTCTCAAACAGCTCCGGCTGGTACTCGGCAAAGTCGAAGGCCTCCACAGGGCCCGAGGGCGTGTTGGCCACCACAGACACCCGCACGGTGGGCATCTGGCCGCCGCTGCAGCTGAGTCTTTGCATCTGGCTGATTCTATTCAGGATGATGTCCACCTTAGACTCAAGGCCTTTCTGAGTCACAAAGACATTCTGATCTCTTGAACCATCAAACCCCAGAATCACATCCAGATTACAGGCTATAAAGGGAGAAAGCAGGCAATGAGCTCTGAGAGGGGCTGCACAGGTGAGTTCAAGGTACAGGCACAACCCCAGGACATGAGCCAGACGTCATGCTCAAGGGCAAAATGAGATCTTCTATGGATGAGCTTTGAGAAGAAATTAGACCAGCCTCTCTCACAGGGAACACCGGTGCTGACTGTTAGGAACCAGAACAGTAGGCCATTTTAATCTGTTGCTCTTTTCATGATATTAATCAATTTTGGCATGACATAGAGTTGCTGTTTACATGCCTCCCAAGTTCCTGAACATGAGAACTCAAATACTCTGGTCTCACATAATTCATATAATAAGGCTACAAACAGAAACAAGGGCCATCTGAATTATTTGGGGGATTAAAAAATAGGGAGAAAAGATAAATCTTATAAGGGCATGAAAGGCAAGCTTCCACTCTTTAAAGAACATCCCAGACCTGTCTAGGTGCCCACCAGGGCCCCACCCTCAGTGAGATGAGGAAATGCCTGAAGTGATCAATGCTTAAGGAAGCCACAGGCCAGCGCTGGGGACCTAGGTCACTAAGTCACATCAACAAGACTGGATGGAAAACGTGCTCAGGAAAAGGATTACCTTTGGAAACATCCGTCACCCCCGGACACAAGATCTCATTCATGGCATCGTCCAGAGTTTCCAACACCTGCTCCTTCAACTCCGACAGCTCCTGGATGTTCCCCACACGGAAGGCCGTGGCGCTGTTGGACGCAATCTTCCCGACCTCCACTGAGTCGATGTTTCCCAGGCCCACCGCAAACACTTTGACACCTCTCTGGGTGAGTGCCAGGCTCGCCTCCTGAGCGTCCTCCATGGACTTCCCGCCGGTGATCACAAACGCGATCTGAGGGACCCGCTGATCCAGGCGGCTGCCTGCCTCCGGCACGAAGTGATTCAGCCGCAGGTGCTCGATGGCCACCTTGGTGTTCGCGTGCCTCCCCCCTTTGTAGACCACCTTGTTGATGGCATCGATAATCTGCTGCTTGGTGGAGAAGTCCTTCAGGAAGAACTCGTCGGTGGGGTCAGAGTTGTACTGGACCAGCCCCACCTGGATGGAGTCGCCCTGTCCATAAACCGTGTCCACGATCTCAGACACGAAGTGGAGCACCTCCTGGAAGCTGCTCCTCTGGAAGTTGATGGAGCCGTCCAATAGGAACACAATGTCTGCTTTCTTTTTATCTAAAAGGGGCCAGAATGAAAAGGAGGAGAACTTTGGTTTCCATAGTCACGCATTAATAAGCAAACTATAAATTAAAATAATTGACATAAGACATTCCTGTAACTCATTCACATTGAACACCTTAGCTCAATCCCATGCCTCTACGGCTTCTTTTTTTTTAATATATTTTATTGATTTTTTACAGAGAGGAAGGGAGAGAGATAGAGAGCTAGAAACATCGATGAGAGAGAAACATCGACCAGCTGCCTCCTGCACATCTCCTACTGGGGATGTGCCCGCAACCCAGGTACATGCCCTTGACCGGAATCGAACCCGGGACCCTTCAGTCCGCAGGCCGGCGCTCTATCCACTGAGCCAAACCGGAAAATGGGAAGCAGGCCCCCTGCCAGTATGCTGAGAGTTTCGTGGGACCCTGCTGAAAATCAGTGGCATTTGGGGTAATTTCCCAATTATATCAAGTGGTCAAGATCAGAGTAGAGAAGGTCATAGATTGGCCAATTTCAATGATGTGTCCTATTCTGAGAGCCAACAAGCCTGTGGTTACCCCTCAATGCACCTTCATCGAACCTTTCAATGGGGCTACGTTAGCCTCCCGGAAGCTCATGGAAGTCTCATGGAAGAATCAGTGACCATATGCTTTCTGGGATGTTTCCTTCTACAATTTCAACTGTTTATTATTCTGGTATTTACTTTCTAATACTATCTGCAGCAACAACCCTATGAGATGAAAATTATTCAAATAAATGCTACTATTTACATTTCTCAGTTGAAAAACAATTGATGTCATACTCTACAGTCATGGGTTCCACAGTTCATACCTGTCCGAGGGGGGGAGGGTATGTCCACTCCCGGTGGTGCAGGTGTGATCCCCGCGGGTCCTAATGAGTACATGATCCTCTCTTCTACACTGGGGAGATCTCTGAACTCTCGCACTGTGAAGACCAGTCTGGGGTAGCCGGTGATAGCCTCCAGCTCCAAGCTGTCAATTTTTCGGTCTCCGACCCCTACAGTCACAATCCCTGCCTCGTGTATCATAATTGAAGGCCTGGAAATGGCATCCTGGGATTTTCCACCCAGAAACAGAACCAGGTATTGGGGCACCCCGTCTTCTCTCCGGCTCCCAGCAGACTTGATAAAGAGATTTTTTGCCACATATTCCAGAGCTCTGCCAGTGTTCAGTGGAGACCCGCCTTTGAACCTCAGGCGGCGGATGGCATCGAGCACAGTGGCCTGGGACTTATGGGTCTTCAGTTGGAATTCCGGGAAGACATCATTGCTGAACTGCACAACCCCAATTCTCACTTTATTGGGGCCAACGTTGAGCCTTCGGACAATCCTGATGATAAAGTCTCGGATGTGTGCAATGCCTTCAGACGTCACCCCGTCGGAGCTGTCAATGAGGAAGACAATGTCGGAAGCATCGCTCTCGGCAGCTGGGGAGAAAAGAAGAGGAAAGCTCAGTGCGTGGCTGGCACCCATCTGTCTTGATTTCTGCCTTTGTTTCTGAGGTTTGTATTGTATTCTGGACTTGGCGTGTTGTTGCACCATAATATTAACATTAAAACTATCACCCGAGTCATCGGTGTTTATTTCTTGGACTTTTTAAAATTAATCATTAAAACTGGGCCTTTTTCACCTAAACAGTATCCACTTCTTGATATATTTTAAGGTCTCCAAGACTTTCTGAGTTTATTCGATTTTCATTTTGGCTTTGGGGTCTGGGTTACAACTAATTTCTAAAATAAAAGCGATATTTAGAAACAAATCCTGGAAACCATAATCTACAGAGTCATGAACTATTACCACCATAAGGAACTGAGATCATCCAGACCAACATCTTTGTTGTAAAAGAAGAGAGAGGCAGCTGAGGTCAAAGGTCCTCTCCTCATCCATGGTCACCACTCAGCTGCTGACCACCCAGGTAACCCCAACTGTCCCCCAGAGGGCCACTACAGCTCCCCAGGTGTTACAGTCATAGTATTTCTTTTTGCTCACATTTCTCTAAGGTTTATAGAAAGTTTTTATTTTCAATATTACTGTTCCCACTTCTTTACTTTACATGAGTCCATTTTTAACTATAAAACCAATCAGAAAACTCTGTTTTCCTCTTAGTTGGAATTCTAGGTACTTCTTGGATGTCATGTATTAAACTACTAATATGTTTCCACTCCACAAATTCAACCTGTCTTTTGCTTCATAAATCACTGGGCTACTTATAGTGGAAACAGCACAGCAAAAGGTGAGCAAGTCATGGAATTGAAACGTTTATACTGAGAAAGAGGAAATCTCTCCTGGCACACACAGCCAGGCCTCAGAGAACATCAACACCAGGGAAAGCCACACTGTGGCCACCATGGAGCAAGACAAAAATGAGGTCATGCTAGAATCCTATGTGAACACTGACAAAAAAGAAGACAAAAATAACCAAACACAGCTCTATCCTGGCTCATAGGAATGACCACTGTTTCTTTACCAATTACAACTTTAGCTATAAGATTTAGCAAGACCCCCAATCACAGAATTACTTTAATTTCTTAACAACATCTGATCCTGGCAAAGTCCTACTTCCTTAAGCTTTCCACAGACTCACCTACCATAAGCCTGAGACCTATCAGAAGTCCTTTCTAACACTGAGCTATCCCGTGGTTCACCATCCTGTGCATCTTTCCTTCTGGCCACAAGCAATAGGCCCAAGTGGCTCAATCACAGGTGTGCCTTTATTTTATTTTAACTCATCCTGAGGACCATGGATCTTTGAGCCTGTTATTTTTTTATATCGAAAACACTCAGAGAGAAGCAACAACAACACATTCAAACCCACCAGGAGGAGGGTAGGGAGTGCGGGCCAGCATCTGCTGAATCTGCTCTGAGGTCAGGGTCGTGATGGGCGTCAGCAGCCTCTGCTCCAGGCTGGGCAGCTCCCGGAAGGTGCTCACTGAGAACACGTACTCAGGGCTCAGGGAAATCTTAACCAGCTCCTCCTGGTCTGCACTCTTGGAGATGGTAAATGGTGCCACGCCATTCCTCTTGAGTTCTGCTGCCGCGTCGTCCACCTCATCCCCGGATTTTCCAGACGAAATGAGGACCAGGAACTGAGGAACGCCCTCTTCAATCCGGCTCCCCAGTGGCCTCTTGAAGATATTTTTTGACACATACTCCAGGGCATTCCCAACGTTGATCTGCCGCCCGCCCTTGGGCCGCAGCCGCCTCACCGCATTCTGCACCTCCTCCTTGCTGGAGTATTCATTGAGCAAGAACTCCACATTGGTGTCCTCACTGAACTGGATGACTGCCACCCGGGTCGTGTCAAAGCCCACGTCCAGCGAGTCCACCAACCTCTCAATGAGGGTGCGGATGTACTGAAACTCAGGGCCAGCACGTAGGGACCCATCGATGAGAAAGACCACATCCTTCTTGCTGCCTGCACCTGCGAATCAAACCGAATCAAACCATGGGTTTCACCTTCGTTGGCACCTAATTCTCAGCATTAACAAACCACCTTCCAGGTTGTCATGGAATCACCACAGGCAAAATATCCTAATTCTGAGTCCTAGCACAGCAATGACAAGTCAGGGAGGAGAAGAGGAACCAGCAAAGGATAAGGAAGGGTAACTGAGGGAGGCAGAGACTAGGCACACAAGACACATGTGTAGATGAAGTGGGGATGGTTTTCGGGAAGGAGGGGGCCTCAGCAGTGACAGCAAAATGTCACTTGTGAATTGCCCATGGGTTGGAGGGGCCTTGAGAAGAGCGCTCTGGGTGGAGTGGCGAGAGTGAGGGGCAGAGGGGTGGGTTCAGAGCGGAGTTGTAGGGAGTATAGGAACTCACCTAAGAGGAGACTAAGGCGCTGCTGGAGGGGATGCAGGGCACCGGGAGAGAGTGTTTGACACAGAGAGAAAGCAACAGGTTTGAGCATGAAGGAAACCACCCTTCCCATCCTCAGTGGAGACCTGATGACGCAGGAGAGAGAAGAAGCAGATGAGCAGGTGACAGGAGAGCCCGGGAGCAGAGGCGGGTCACCACGGGCACAGGAGGGAAGCTGAGATGGGGATACGGTGCTGGGATGACCACATGGTGCTTCTGGAAGTTCTTTCCAATTTACTTACATTTCTCAGTGAAATGGGATTTCAGCCATCATCTCAGACTAAGCTGAGGGAGAAGAGCATAGAAGAAGCGGGTGGGGAGAAAAGAGGAGGAAGGATATAGTCACTTGAAAGAGAGGGAATGTGAGTGGGCAGGAATCCTGTTATTATAGAAATATGGGCTTGCGCTTCTAGTAAAGGAGCCGCATGTTCCCAGTGCTGACATTTCCAAAGGGTGCTCTCGGGAACACTGGCACTGCAGCCGCGCTGTGCAAAAGGCTCTGGCCCCACTGCGCTGGAGGCACCACGCACATCAATTAGGGGGGAAGCTCTTTCCCTTTGTTTACCTCACTGATGCATACTTTCATCTGGTTTCAAACCCTTTAGAACATTCCACGTGCTGCTCTCTGCCCTGGACACCAGCAAGGAGAAGCTGACACCCACTCCCTTGCACTGTGTCCATCACCCTCGCCTCCCTTGTCCACCCAAAGGCAGGTGTCCTGCATCCCACTTTTCTCACTGGCTTTTTCTCCTCCCTTCCTTCCCCCTCTCTATGCCATGAGGCCATGGATGGTGTCCTATAGAACGGGAGCCACAGAAAGAAGCCATGGCTGTCTCTCTACCACTGTGACCATCCCCATCCAGGGGCCCAGGGAGGACAGGCCCCTGCTGGGTATTTTTGGAGGGGGTGGCCACATCTCAATCCCCTTCCTTCTCAGCAGCCAGGCTCCCATCATTTTCTAGTTTATTGTAACCAGGCCTAGGAAAGCAGATAGGAAGGAGGGTATAGGGTAAATGCCGTCACACAGCCTGGTGGCCTTCCTGCCAGCTAAGACACTTCTCAGCACCAAGCAAATTCAAAAGCAATCCTCACACTTTGGCCAACATCTCAGAGACTGTGTTCCAGCTTGACGAAGAGCCTGTGTTCTAAGCCCCTCCCTGGTCATGGAAGGCTGGACCTCCTCCGGTCAGCTCAGAACCACACTGAACTGCTGTTGTCAATGAGGTGGCTCCGCCCTTTGAATACCTACACAACAGCCTTCATGCAGAGTCAGAGCACCTGCACTGTCAGCGAGGCACATGCCCCTCCTCAGACTTTGGCCAAAAACATGAATCTTAGCATCTCCCCAAGCCTCTACCATTTCTGAGACCAAACGAGGTTCCTAATTCTTCATGGAATTAGGTATAAATAGAGGAAACAAAATGCGCAGGCCACAGTCCAAACAAGTAGCCCCAGATGTTCCAAGGAACGATGATCCAAGAGTCCCCTCCTTACCTGGCCTCGATGGAATAATCACCTCTGGCTGCAGCGTCCTCAGCTCTTCCCTGGTGAGCTGGGTCACCCTCCGGGAGATGTCCTGCTGGACGCTCTCCAGCTGCCCGAAGGTGGGAACGGCCACGGCGAAGCCTGGGATGTAGGAGATGGTCTGCATCTCCGTGATGTCGGCGTTCCCGATGCCGATGCCGATGGGCACAGCCCCGCCCCTCTTCAGGACCACCGAGGGGCCTCTCACGTCATCCCCGGACCTGTCTGCTGTGAGGACGATCAGGAGCTGGGGGACGCCTTCTGCTATCCTGCTTCCGGCAGAGCTAATCAGGATATTCCTCAGGACAAAGTCCAGGGCGGCCCCGGTGTTGGGGGTCGGCCCTCCCAGCAGTGCCAGGCTTCGAATGGCATTGACCACACTCTGCTGATCCATGTATGAATTCAGGTAGAACTCGGGCCTGGTCCGGTCACTGTACTGCACCACGGCCACACGGACTCGGTCTGGGCCCACATCCAGGCTCTCCACCACTCTCTGGACAAAATCCTTCAACAGAGAGAAGCCGCTCCTGACACCGTCAGAGCCGTCGAGCAGAAACACCACATCCTTTTCAGCTGAAACTGGAAGGAAGACAGCCCAAATGACTCACACAGGACATGAGAGGGACAGTTTCCTACTGATGGTGGTGGGCTGAAGAATGTCCGATTCAGAATCCCCAGAACTTGACTTTGGGGATGTCCTTATAGGTGGGAGACAAGAGGATCAGGTTTAGAGGAAGAAGATATGAGGATGGAAACAGAGGTCAGAGAAGAGAGAAGGCACTACGCTACTGGCTTTGAAGCTGGAGGAAGGAGCCGCAAGCCAAGGAATGCAAGCGGCCTCTAGGAGCTGGAAAAGGCCAGGAACCTCCAAGAGGGACACACTCTTGCTGACACCTTGATTTCAGCCCAGTGGAACTGGTTTTGCGTTTCTGACCTCTAAAACTGTCAGAGAATTAATTCCTTTTGTTTTAAGCCACTCCACTTGTTACAGGAGGAAACAAACTCACCAATTTATATAGATAACCCTTTCATTTTAGAATTGTTCAAGGCTTGAGCAACAAACTTTCATAGGTGTACTCAAGAAAAACACTGAGGGCTAGAGAGATCTGGATGGAAGGGCCTGCATAACCAATAACATTTTATACATGGGCAGTTTTAAATAAATTGCTGCAAGTCATAGTGGATCAATAGGGGAAAAATGTAATCCAGATGTCTGGGTTATAATCCAAAACCAACAGTGTGTGGGACCAATTGTCAGTGTAGAAACTCTAGATTCTCCACTTTTAATCAAAAGGATTGTAGATGAAATTAATTACTCTTTTCATTGCATTTGTATCAGCAAATGGAAAGTGGTTAAACACAAAGGCATGGTACTGTAGATGAAACAGTTTCATGCAGTGTGTGTAGTGGGAATGTATCTGTCTCTCATCATGCCTTATGTCCTTAGTGTAGGGAATGAATACTAACACAGGGACACCCACTTAAAATATGATGGGGGGAGGGAGCAGGATATGAAGATGAAGACTGGCTTAACTACATTATAACAAAGTCATGTGGCTTTTATTATGCATATAGTAAAAATTATGTGTCTTCAAAGAATTTTTAACCACTAATATGTCTAAATTTTTATCATGTATCTTATTGTGAAACTAGAGGCCCAATGCATGAAAATTTGTGTACTCGAGGGGCGGGGGCGGGGGTTCCCCTCAGTCCAGCCTGCGCCCTCTCGCAGTCTGGGACCCCTTGGGGGATGTCCACCTGCTGGCTTAGGCCCGCTCCCCAGGGGATTGGACCTAAGCTGGCAGTCAGACATCCCTCTGGCAGCCCAGGAGTCCTCAGGGGATGTGTCGGACATCCTTAGCACTGCTGAGGAAGTGGGAGAGGTTCCTGCCACCATTGCTGTGCTCACAGCCATCAGCTCAGCTTGTGGCTGAGTGGAGCTCCCCCTGTGGCAGCACAGTGACCACCAGGGGGCAGCTCCTGCATTAAGCGTCTGCCCCCGGTTGGTCAGTGCACGTCATAGTGACTGGTCATTCTGCCGTTAGGGTAAATTTGCATATTACCCTTTTATTATATAGGATACTCTCATGTCCTTCAAAATAATCACCCTGATTCTCCTGTTTTGCCCTAAACAGCAGTTACGGAGTCTGAGTGAGGAAGGAAAAGTCATATTTCATTGTTCCTACAGAAATGATCGTTAGTCTTCCACCTTCCCTGGAAACCCAAGGACGGCTTTGATCTCAGGACCTGGAGCCAGCAGCCCACCATCAACCCACACCCTGGAGAACTAAGCTGCAGGCCCAACCAGAATTCCTATGCCATACCTGGTGAAGGCACTGTTTTCAGGAGATTCACAATCTGTGGTTGAAGTTCTCCAACCTTGGGAAGTGACTCTGCAGCCAAGATAAAGGCGGGGGATAGTACTACCTGCTCTAACTGGGCAGGGTCTGCATTCTTGGCCTGTAACACAAAAGGCACCACCCCCCTCTCCTTCAGCAGGCGTGCCGGCCCTTCCACACTATCAAACGAGCGTCCTGCCACCAGCAGCACCAGGAACTGGGGCACTCCATCCTCTATCCGGCTCCCGGCAGACTTCACATAAATGGATCTGACTGCATAGTCCAGGGCATAGCCCACGTTGAGGGTTTTTCCAGTCTTGATTTTCATTCTCTTCACGAGATTCAGGATTTCAGGCTTGTTCTGGTGCTGATTAAAATGAGACTCGACCCTGACATTGTCGCTGTACTGAGCCACTGCAATTCGGGTCCCATCTGGCTTCACATCAAGCTCATCGATCACCTTGTAGAGAAAGTCACGGACGACATGGAACTGTCCCACAAGATTGGCTGAGCCATCAAAGAGGAATAGAATGTCTCGCTTGCTTTCTACAAGAAAAAGGAGGTTAGGACACTATGAGGTTCAAGAATTTAACAGGCACCAAACTAACGTCAGCCCAGCACCACCAGCATTTGGTAACAGGAGTTCACGCAATTCACCTGACGATCACTGTACCAACAAGGGAGGCAGAACCCTCACCGACTGTCAGTGAAATGTCTGTTTCGGCCTGGCTGGTGTGGCTCAGCATCGACCCATGAACCAAGAGGTCCTGGTTTGATTCCGTTTGGGGCACATGCCCGGGTTGCGGGCTCGATCTACAGTAGGGGCGTGCAGGAGGCAGCTGATTAGTGATTCTCTCTCATCTCTCTCATCATTGATGTTTCTATCTCTCTCTCTTCCTCTCTGAAATCAATAAAAAACATCTTTAAATGTCCGTTTCAAAGCAGTGCATACTTGCGAAGGACCAGAACAATAAGCCAGTCCACCCAATCTGAAAGCTTCTCAACAGAGCGAGACAAGGACAAGCCCACGGGGTTCTATTCTTGCGCCAGGGGGCCATCACTCTAGGACAGCGATGGCGAACCTTTTGAGCTCGGCGTGCCAGCATTTTGAAAAATCCTAACTTAACTCTGGTGCCGTGTCACATATAGAAATTTTTTGATATTTACAACCATAGTAAAACAAAGATTTATATTTTTGATATTTATTTTATATATCTAAATGCCATTTAACAAAGAAAAATCAACCAAAAAAATGAGTACGTGTGTCACCTCTGACACGTGTGTCATAGGTTCGCCATCACTGCTCTAGGAGAACAGACAGTGTTTTCAAACTATAAACTAAACTATCAAACATGTGGTCCTTATTGTCCTTTTGCCTAAAAACTGACCTATCTCTAGTGACAAAGGCTGATGTGGTTTAATTACACAAGAATAACTGAGTTGACACATTATCAGCTGACAGGTGTCTGTCATTGCTCTGTGGTCAGGCAGGCTTCTGTCACTGCTTTCCAAGCTGCTGTATTTAGACAAGAAAGAATGACCGCCCATATGGGACTACAATGGGTAACGTGAATATGATTTTCAGTTCACACAATGGGAATTCATTCAATTAGGTTTCGGTTGTCTCAGTCTTGCTACCTGTCCGTGTGATGTCAGCTGCAAGATCCAGTACTCCATATCTCACCACCAAATTAATTTGCAATAAGAACAACTATCCAGACTTCCTTTGGAAATTGTGTTACTGTCACATAAAGTGGCTGGCTTTGTTGGGTTTACAACAAATAATTGTCTAGATACAGCAGATTTTGAACATCACAAAAAAAGTCATATAAAGAAAAGAACTGTGATTTCTAACTGACGCCAAGGCATCCTCATGTGTGACAGGAAACCCACCTCTATCTATCTACACCCTCTCACTTCCACCTGGATTTGCACCCCAGAATCTTCACAGACATTGGGGGTGGGGGAGACAGCTTTTGAATAAAAGGTGGGATAAGATGCAAGGAATGTAAGCTGAATTTTCTAGGCTCGCTTTCATCAATGAACACCCTTTAGGTAGAGAATGTAAACTTGCCGGTACAGTGTCTCAGACCCCCAATCAAAATATTCCAACCAAAGGGAGTCAGTTGAGTTTCTAGGGTTCACCATGCTCTTGAGTTCAGGTTGGGCCACCTGCCTGCCAGGGGAGGGAGCCCCGTGCAGTGGGGGAGCTTTACCTGGCTGGGTGAGTTGCACCTCCTCCACACCTCCACTAACATATGTGGTTAGGGGCTGAATCAGCTGCTGCGGCAAAGCTGACAGGGAGCGGAAATCATCCATGAGATACACCAGGCTCGGGTTAAAAGCAATCTGCTCAAGCTCGGCCTTATCCGCCTGATGAGCTCCCACACAAAAGGTCAGAACGCCCTCTCGGGCTAGTGCATTGGCGGCTTGCAAATAGGAGTCCTCAGACCGCCCTGCCGTGAGCAGGAGCAGGAGCTGTGGGACGTGTTCGCGGATCCTGCTGCCGCCAGCTTCGATGAAGTGGTTGGCATGGACATAGCGCAGGGCCGAGCCCGTGTTCAGGCCTGACCCCCCCTGGAGCTGCAGCTGTCTCAGGTGAGCAAGCAAATCTGACTTTGTCTGGTACGTGTTTAGGGAGAACTCCGTGACCGGAGTGTCACTAAATTGCACTAAACCCACACGAATACTGTCGCTTCCAACATCAAGGCTGTTAACTACGTTCATTACAAAGTCCCGCACATAGGGGAAGTTGGTCTTTCCAACGTTGAGCGATCCATCCAAAAGAAAGATGATATCCCTTGGGTTTACGTGAACTGCAGTGAAGCACAGAAAACAAAGTGAGACACACACACTCATGTGTGCCCGCAACCGGTGCACACATGCCAACACATAAGACACAAGACATCAGTGAGGCAAAGCACATCCATCTGGTAAAATATGGCAGAGGGGCACATATTTTCCTCCATGGCGACTGGTGCTATGAGGTATGTCCATAGCCAAGTTTATGGGACCAAGTTGGCTCACAGAGAGACACAGCGCCAAAGGTAGACTGCTTTCAAACAACAAAAAGGATCGAGTCCTTGAACCAGAACATCCTTCCTAGGGAATGAATTCTGCAAGAGTGCTGTCAAATTCTGTCTCACTCGTGTCTCTAAATCAGGTTCACAGCCAAGTTCACCTGGGTCCTTGGGTGTTCACCTCTACACATTCACAGAGATTCCCCTTACAGATAGGTTAGAAGCCTTAACCCAAGTTAACCTGAGAACATGAGTTCCTTATGACTAAAAAACTCAATACTGTTAGTCTGTTCTCATCATGAAGGATTCCTAGGGGCACCCATTTGTCATTTCCTACTGTCCTCTTTTCCTAACAGGGCATCACGGGATTGCCAGATGTTAATCCAAAAGGGTACCTATGGGAATCCCTCTGGGTGAGATCACAGAATCCTGGAAACATGTGAAAATACAGAGTCTACTTGCTATGCTTGGCTGAGGCTGTACACATGAAGAATCAAAAGTGTAATTCTCAAATTAGAGTTTTTTCCCAACACATTTAGTACATGTCCTTTGAAAAAATTACTTCCCATCTCTTCCCTGGTGTCTCACTGAAATTTAAACCTAACAACTAATTTTATCCTATGTTCTATCAAATTGTACTTTGGCTATGAGAGGGTGGGTTAGAATTTTTAAGAAAATAAAAGAGAGGGAGAGAGACAGGCAGAGAGAGAGAGAGAGAGAGGCTTTTAGAAGACCAGAGAGCATGAAGAGAAAGCATGCACTCATGCAACATGGGTCGTGCAACATGGGTCCTACAACATGGGTCATACAACATGCAACATGGGTCATGCAACATGGGTTGTGCACCGAACACCCTTCCAGTGGTAAAGCTTGTGAGGTGGAAAAGCTTGTTTCCATAATATTAATCTTCACTGAGGACGGCAAATTATACTTATTCAATTCATGAGGTCATAGACTGCTAGAATGTGTTTTAAAATAACTTCCCACTGACAATCATATTAAATGAGAGATTGAAACAACCACTGGGTTTTTCTCTTCATGCCCATTCATTCACTATATTTTGCACTTAAGGAAATCCCTTAAAGAGAGAGGAGAGAGGGTTAATGTTCTACGCTGGTCGGGTTCGAATCACTTAGAAGTGGACTGTCAGCTCAGGAGAGGAAGATCCAGGCTACATGTTGGTGGTGGGAAAAGGAGGCCAGACAGGTGTCACCAGGAGAAACTGAACACTGGGACCTCACGAGGGACAGGAACTGAGAAGTGACCTCCTCAGCTAGAAGCTTCAAAGACAGGTGGCCCTGATCCTATAATTCGAGTCAGATGGTTCTTATGACTTTTGAAGGCGTACAATTCTCGTGTGACATCTTAAGACATGCAGTTATGTCATAGTGCATCCAAGTCCTACAATTCCCTGCTCAGGGTAAACGGAAACCTGAAATAAAACTCGTGTGGCTCTTGCTTCCACCATTTCAGAGTTGTCTCCTAACTGAACACAAGTAAAACTTCCTTTTGTTTTGTTTCTCAAAGGCTCTGCCTGGAGGCCACCCTGTGGTGTGTCTGACACCTCCCACCCCAGCCGTACCTTCCGTGGTTCCGGAGAGGGTCCTGAGAGGCGCCAGCAAGCTGGGCAGCATGCCCTGCAAAGGGGCAGCTTGGAACTCAGCCGGGGTGAACACCAGCGACGAATCAAAGGCCATGTCCGCCAACTCCGCCTGGTCGGCAGCCTTGCTCCCAACCGCAAAGCACAGGATGCTGCTCCTCTTCAGCTCCTGGGCCGGCTGGCTGACTTCGTCTAGGGACTTACCGCCTGTAATCAGCACCAGGAGCTTGGGGACCCCCTCGGTGACCCGGTGACCTGCCGCACTAGTGAACAGGTTGTTCCGAACGAAGTCCAGAGCGGCGCCCGTGTTCAGGGCCGAGCCTCCCATGGGCTTCATTCTCCGCACGGCGGTAATGACCTCCTTCTTGCTGGGGTAGCTACTGAAATAAAACTCTGGCCTCACAGAGTTTGCGTACTGAGCCACTGCCACCTGGATGAGATCCTGTCCAATTTCCAGCCTCTGGATGACCTTGATAATGAAATCACGGATGGCATTGAAGTTGGACAGGTCCAGTGCTGATGAGCCATCCACCAGGAAAAGTATGTCCCGCTTGTTGACTTCAATGACTGTAGGTAGCAATATGAGAAGGTGAGTGGAGCAGTCTTTCCGACCACATTCAACTATGACTCTACACAGTTCATTCTGTTCAAAGAACTTCCCCATTAGCTCTGGCTAAGGCAGCCGTGGGCAAACTACGGCCCGCGGGCCGGATCTGGCCCGTTTGAAATGAATAAAACTAAAAAAAAAAAAGACCGTACCCTTTTATGTAATGATGTTTACTTTGAATTTATATTAGTTCACACAAACACTCCATCCATGCTTTTGTTCTGGCCCTCCGGTCCAGTTTAAGAACCCATTGTGGCCCTCGAGTCAAAAAGTTTGCCCCCCCCTGGGCTAAGGTGATGTCGGGGGCGGGGGGGGGGGGGGGCTTGTCATTACACACACAGGAGAGTGAGAGCAGTGTCCTTCCCTATGGGGTAGCACATCCCCCACCCACTCGGCACTTCTGTACAAAATTATAGCCCAAAAACAGATTTCGTTTCAGTAGCCACCTGATTAACATGTTGTCACTAAAAAAGTCAGGAAGCTCTTTCCTGCCATAAATCTAAGGCTTGGGTTTGCGAGGCCAGAATGAGGCCAGAGCCGGGTAATGGAGGAAGCAATCAGTGGGGCTCAGAGGCCCCCGTGGCATGATGGGGAGTTCATGAGCACCTACTGCCAAGTGCAAATGCTGAGAGCGCAAATGCCCGTTCCTTCCGCTCTGGTCTCCATGCCTTGGTTTTCCAGGCAGAGGGGGAAGTAACATACCAATTACTTGGCATCATAAAACTTTTAAAAAGGAAACCAGTGTCAAAACCAGTCAATGGCACAGAGCATTTTCTGTCGGAGCCCTGTGCTGTGAAGGCACTAAGTCTCATGCTAACTGTGTGATTACTTAAAGACAAACCACGAAGCAAGGACACCTGGACAAGGCCTCTGTGCCCTGCGTGTCACCGCGTGGGCAGTGCCTGAGTCACAGGACCGAAGACTTGAATCAGCCCAACGCACCCCACCCAGAAACCGGCAGGGCGTCCGGACTTACAGGAACACCAGTGCTGACAGCTGAGGCCAGAGGGCTCCACTTATTCAGTCATTATCTGGCCGCAAGGAGCCCCTGTCACTCGAGTGGTCAGATCAATAATATGAAGCACTCTCACCTACTTGACATGTGACTACACTGACATTTATCAGCCCACACTCTCCTCTTTCAGAGAAAACACGGAAATGCACACCGACACCAAGCATTAGGGGCAGGCACACAGAGACCATGGCTTTGGTGCCAAGTTGTGGCATAAACAATACATTTCAAGTCCCTAGCTCTCCTGGAGACCTTGCAGATGCCTGGGGTTCTCACTGTACCTGCTGCTGAAACACAGGAGTATCCCATGCCCGCCTTCTCCTTCTCCCCCTCCATTACTCTGTGGAGGACATGTATGAGCCATACAAACAGCCATATGCCTGCTTTCACACACAGACAAGGACAGCGAGCACACCTGGGTCCATATGCACGCACACACGCCCACCCCCCTTATAACCACAGACGAAGGAGCTAATGCTGATACCCTGTGAGCAGTTTCCTGTGCTCAGCAAGAGGTGTGCACTGCATGTGATGGGTGATTAGAAAGACCAATCAGCACCCCCTCCACCCTGTCCCAGCCCACTCCCGGCATCTGCTGGAGTGACATCCCCTTCCTCGTGAGATGCCTACCCAAGCGGAGCCTCTTGCTCTTGCACCCGGTTCTGCTGGGGCTGGGTTTGCTGTACCCTCGCTGGGAGGTGAGCCTGAGGTTCCACTAATCTGTTGGCTTCAGCCCTCACCTCCCTGTTGACCGACACCAGCACGTCCCCCAAAACGTGGCTTCCCTGCAGCCCTGACAGCCCAGGACGGGCGACTGTCCCCGCACTGTTTCCAAGCAAATTCTCTTCAACTGTCCAGACCCCAGCCCCCTTTCTCAGGGCTGTCTCCTCTCCACCCTACTATTAGAGTGACTTGGGGCTACTCTTAGGCTGCTCTTCTCAGTGACTCAGGGACCCTGACTTCTAATAAAGCACATCCTCCTGTCCCCAGTGCCCGTGTCCAAGGCCACAGGTGGTCAAGTCTTCAGGAATGGCTCTGAAATCTCTCACTCACCGCCCCCTCCTGGCCTCATCCCTCCAGCTCCCTCAGGCTCCACCCTCCAGCCACACCTGAAGCACCAAATCTGCTCACCCTGACTCCCAGTTGGCCCCTTGCTCGCTCACTTCCCTCTCTCCATCTTCAGAGCCTTGGCCCCAGCTCCCTGGCCCTTCCCTCAGTCAGACACTCCCGGCAAGCTTTGCACTCTGCTCAAAGCTGTCCCGCCAGCACTGCCACACAGCAAACTCACAGGTCGGGGGAGGCCCTCAGCTCCCATTGCACCCACCACAACCTCCCCTCCCTCCCCCACACCAATGACTCCATGTCTTCATCCTAATCAGCTTCTTGGCAGTTCGGGCCCCAGGTGATCTCTGCCTCCCTGGATTCACACTGCCCTCACCCGGCTTCCAGCACCCTCCCTCTCATCTCCCTCTATCACTGACTGCTCCCCCAGGCTCCTTTCCAGAGCATTCCTTTCCTCACCAGCTGTACAAGCACAGTGCCTGCAGCCTGGTCCCCAGCCTGTCTCTCCCCATCTACTCCCAGACCTCTCCTCTCGGCCCACGAGCATGTCAGCCCCAGCGCCATGCTCCTCTCACTCACTCTCCGCTTGCCCACAGTAAAGCTGTTCTCCCACTTGTCAATTATCGCCAGCCCCGCTGGGAGACGCCAGGCTCCCAGCCTCCTCTCAGGCCAGCCTTCCCCAACAGCCCCATTTGAAGCTGTTGGCTCCATTGCTCCTACTCACCGCCCCCTCCTGGCCTCATCCCTCCAGCTCCCTCAGGCTCCACCCTCTAGCCACACCTGAAGACCCAAATCTGCTCACCCTGACTCCCCTGTAGTGTCCTCATCCAACTCTTCACTTGGGGAATGTTTGGTGTGGTCGCTGGTTTATAGTTTTGTCAACTATTTTCCCGTTATACTCTGACGCACCAGCAGCCACATTCGTCTCGGTCACCAGTCCTGTAACTCCAGGGCCTGGCATACCGTTGGGCTCATACCAGAGAGCCAAGAATATTAGTTGAATATTTACAAACTAATCACAAAGATTAAAGATGATGTGTAAACGAGGAATTCACACTTAATCAGCTAGTTAGCTTGGGAAAACTGAAATGAGGGCAGTGCACTGCCCAAAATAAAAAAGTTTGAAACTTTGCCTGGAACAGAACTATATCCTCACCGAGTGTGATCCCTGTGCCCCAGCCCAGCATCATGCAGCTGGTGAGGCTGGGATTTGGGCTCAGAAGCCAGTTCACCATGGCGCTCCTGCAGTGTTTACAAAACCTGTGGAAATCGTGTGTTTGTTTCCAAAAGTGTGCAAGCCCGGAGAAACCTTAGTGGGCTGTATTCCCATCAGAGGGATGTCTGTAAATATCAAGAGGATCTTCAGAATGTAATGTTGCATTGATTCTAATTTACCTGCCCAACTACATGCCTGGAGCCACCGTAACAAGATCTGATGGACAGAGGGCATCCACAGCTCATATCACTTGGTACGCCTGTGTCTGCCGGTTCTTTCACTGCCTTGCACCAAGCACCATTGCATTCTTATTTAAATTCTGAAATCCACTTCCCACCTCCCACAGTTGTTACATATGTATTTATGGGACCTGGTTAGTTCTATATTTTTTAAATGGCTCCCATTGGACTTTCTGCCAAAGACCCTCATTTGAGTGTATGTCATCATCTCTCTACTCAGAAGAACTATTCCTAAACTTGACAGGCACAGGGAAAAGTTTCTCCTAAATATTACACCACGTGAGGGCTCTGTTATGCCTTACCTGCAGAACCCCACCTCTCAATACTCAGCACACAGAGGACTTAGGGGAGACAGCCCTCGGGGATCTGTGAGCACACCTCTCACATGCTGGCTCTCAGAGGCCAATGCCCTTTCCCTGGAGTCATTTTCTCAGGACTGTGATCAGCCTCTGAGGTCCACCGTACCATGACTGCATTATGAAGAGATGACAACATGATGTCTGATGTCTCAAAGGAGCAGGTCTGTTGAATTGGCCTCACAGTCTGACAAGAGCTTTCCACTCGTATATCTTCAGCTTTTTAGAGACCCCACCATCCCAGACATGAGTTCCAAGAGCCAGCTCACCTCCAGAGGGCTCGGCTGTGGTACTTACAGGTCCTCCTCAGGCGATTCATTCTGTGAGGTGCCTGCCTTCCTTCCACAAACACCAACACACAAAACACCCCGCAACCCCTCGGATGGTGAGAAGAGCATACGTACCTTGTGTGACAATGGTTGGCGGTTGCAAGACAATGAGCCTTTGGGCCACGCCAACAATGTACGACAGTAATTGCTCCTGGAGGTCCCCAAAGCTACGGAATTCCGGGACAGTAAACACCAAGTTGTCATTGGTAGCTATGTACTGAAGCTCTGCCCTGGGGGCGGCCTGGGCTCCGAGGGCGAAAGAGAACACGCTAGCCTGCTTCAGCGCCACCACCCCGTCGTGGATCTCGTCACTAGAAGGCCCGGCACTTATGAGCACCAGCACCTGGGGAACCCCTTCGTCCACGCGGCTGCCCCCTGCCCGGGTGAAGTGATTCTCCACCACGAAATCAAGGGCAAAGCCGATATTGGCCAACTCCCCACCAATGAACCCAAGGGCTTTGACCGCATCCAGAACCTGAGCCTTGGTGGGGTAGGTGTCCAAGGAGAACATGGTTCTGGGCTCATCGCTATACTGGACCACCCCCACTCGGATCTGCTGAGCTCCGACTGACAGTCTCTCAAGGAGATTGACAAGGAAGTCGCGAATGACTGTGAAATTGACACTTCCGGTGTTGTTTGATCCATCAATAAGGAAAATAATGTCAGCAGAGTCTTGTGCTTTAAAAGAAAGAAATGCAAAAAACGTGAAAGCGTTAGAACAAGTGACTACATGCATTGTTCAGTGTTCTGACATGTTTCTTTGGAAACCAATAAGAAACACGAAATAAGACAAACAAAACATATGTTGATTAGGGAACGTGGAATTCTCTTTTCGTTCTGCATTCGGAATGAATAAGAGGCAACTTCTTAGAAATGATGATGTGAAATAGGGACCTTTACCTCACATTTTTATCTGTGCCATCTGTGTAGGGATCACATTCACTTTTCAGTGGGTGAAAATCATGGATGCATATTCTAAAATTTTCTACTAAATTTGGAAGGAAATGCAGTTTCATGGAATTGTGCACTACCATACCCATAGGAGAAAATGAAGGAGGACATTAACAAAGGTTCAAAGTTGAATTCTAATTTGGGGGCATTTCTCTTATTATCCTCAAGTGATTGTAAGAATTTTTTATCCAAATCCACAGCTTCAAAATGGAATGTGAGATTCAGGGGCTGGTGACTCATCACCCCAGTATGTTAAACTCTTGATTCTTGAGCAACTGTTGTGTCTTTTTTTTTCTTTCTTTAAAAACCAAGATGGCTGCATACATGCAACTTTGTTAATTTGAAAGGTTGACCTCAAACGGCACTTCAAGTTTTAATTTTTAAAATACTCTGATAAAATTTTGATTTGAATTTATTTTTCTCATAAAACGATTAGTTGCATAAAACTCCAATGCAGGTCTGGGGTTAGGCTAGATGTTGTGTTCATGTAGTTCTGCTAGTGCCTCTATATTCAGTCTCGTAATGCAGAACAATGTTAAGCAGAGTGATATGAAACCAGTCATGACATAATTATCCAACTTTGTTTTCATGACATCCTAAACTGCTTGCCTAGTGGCACCATGTGCATCTAATGAACCCTTAATCAGAATTAGCTCTGGGGTTATATTAATGGACAAAAAAAATGGCCAATATGAAACTTCCATTCCGATACTAAGAATTGGAATCTCATAGAAGCACTGAGCAATCAATAAATCTACAAACCTGAGTAGAATATTTCAAAGGCTCAGCTAGAATATTGAAATCAGACTGATTTAAACTACAGGAAAAGCAAAATTATTCTGGTAAGAGTTTGTTTGATAAATTAAGTGCATGACAGAATAGGAAGAGATTCATATGAATATATATGACATTTACATTCTGAGATTTTAGGAACCTATATTTTGGGTATAATTATAATATTATAAATAAGACCATTTATTCTGATCTTCTTAATGACAGTGAATATTTTATATTTAAAACTATTTTTGCACCAACAAAATTGCTTTTATTTTCACTGCAGAAATGGGATACAAATCTTGTCTCAGAAAATTGAAAAGTTTTGCTACGGTGAAATGATATTCTCACCCAAGCTCTCTCACTGTATAAGCTGAGCCTGTGACTGCTCAAATCAGAACATCTCTCACATTTTTCTCAAATACACACAATCCCTGACAACATCTTTGCAGATGAATTCCTGGCATAGGGAAATATATTAACTTGGAAAGATCTTATAAGATCTTTTAAGATTAACTGGAAATATAAGGTCTAATGAGCATAATTTTTCACTAGAGTACTTAAGATCTTGCATTTTTAATCATTGCATACAGAATAATTAAGACCAGGCCTTTGCTAAGAATGCTAAAACATTCAGCACTCTTTAGCCAAAACCTGGGATTCCTTAAGGATCTGTGGGAGGGTGGTACTAGCAGTATGACTGCAGAGCAGGCCAATGAGATATCTCACATCATCACATGACTTGAGGTTCTGCCAATCACATGGCAGAATTCCTCAACATTTCTCAGGCCTAAACCAATGACCCTGAGGGACCAAGGAAGGTTTGCCACATATGTAGCGTAGGGAGACATTTAAAAGAATTAATGATGATCCCAGGGTCAATAATAGAAAATATCATAGGATGAGGTATTTCTTACTAATTTATTACTTACTTTTATTGTCATTTGCAATGGTATAAATAAGAGCAATGAACCCTGAGGTAAAACCCTTGAATATTTCTCTTCTCAAAGGCTGAACAACTGAAGGTCATAGAAAAATGTTGGATAATTTGTCATCACTGAAAAAACAACCTTGTCCTCTTATGCACACATGATGGGACACACACGGGCATGCTGTGTTATCCAGGAGAGCCGAAGCCTCAGGAAGACACAAGAGCCGGGTTCTTGTGTACGGCAGGCACACCAGTGATCCATGGGAACGCAAAGGGTAATCAGCTCTACCTAGAATTAGGACTGTGAACCTCTCTGGTTTTCTGCCTCTATGGCTCACATCTCACACCCTCCGTGGCATTTTCTACAGAAAAGTTTCACAATGTCCATGGAAAAATCAAGGGCTCCTTCAACACTGCTTTCCTGAGCACGTGAGCATGGGCACAGTGCCTTCCTTACTCACGGGTTGCTTCCTTTTTTTAAAGGTAAATTTAAAAGAGCACCTTTGCATTTCCTATGCAAATGCAAAATGGTTGATAGGTTCCATGAGTTCTTGAAATCTTTATATTTTTCAGAGAAAAGAAAGCTGGAATCCTCATTGAATACAGATCACCTTTAGCTTTCGCTTCAGTTTAAAGCTTTTGTGTCCTATATCCACTTAAATATACAACTTTTAGAGCTTCATTGAGTAGAGTTCATTTAGAACAGTGGCAATCATTAACATTTTATATACACACACTCACACACACACATATATTTCTGGGGAAAAGTTACCTGGTGGACACATAATGGGAAGAAATTGCCCCACCTCATTAGACATTTCTGGAATGCCTTCCTATCTGATTACCTTCCCCCAAATGATAAGCAGAGAATTTATTATTATTATTATTATTATTATTATTATCTTACTGTGGAGCATGCAGTGGGACACAGTTCTGGAGAAATTGCAGAGTGAAGTTAATTAGAAAAGACAACATAAATGGATTAATAGTCCACCCTGGTGCTGCTAGTGGCTTGGACACTAGAAGACAGAGATGCTTTCTCGGCATAAAAACAAAGGTTTATCATCAGTGTGGAAACATGCTGTGCTGATAGCTCACTTAGCATTCAGACTTTAATTATCTGCTCATTTATATAATGATTGAACATAAAGGCAAACTCATCCACTCTTTTTCCTGATTTGGCCATCAATAAAGATGCCCCATTTCTCTACTGATCTCCTTTATTATTTTTGACATAAATTAGTTATTTTACCTATATTCAGAAATGCAATGATCAGTGAATTATTGATTCTGAGGATAGTGTATCGAATGGAGTAGGTTATTTTCTTGCAATCTGGACTGTTTGGTTTGAGGTGCTCCTAGGGTCCCATGTTCTTTTCCTGTAATCTGGCAGGATCAACACTAGCACAGAAACGAAGCATGTCATTCGAAGGAGGGGAGCTTTTTAGTGTTAAATAGAAATAATCCAGCCTGTCACTCACTCCTCATTATTAGAAGTAGGCCCACTGGTAGGGCATTAGCCCTCTCATGCCATCAAATCTGAAATCATGGGGAACCATTGGGGCAACCATTCTATGAACAACCTAATGAAACACCTTGGGGTTGTTCAGTTCTGAAACCCTTCTCATAACCAAGCTCTGCCTGCCTGAGACAGCTGGCTCCGTCCTCCTGACACCAAGTCTCCCTGCTTCCCTTTCTCCTCCCTGCCCTCCATCTCAGAGGACATGCGTCTCTCTCTGGAACTCATCTCTCCCCTGAGGCCCTGGATTCCCCCTTAACTCCCTGATCATGCTCCTAAAATCCACTGTTCTCCACTGTCAGTTGGCCTCATGGACTAGTTCCCTCCACCCTTCCCATCACTGATGAGGAAGCCTAGCCATGGGTACTGGTCAAAATTGCCATGTACCGTACACTTGACATTTTACTTGTCAAATCCCTTCCCTGTTGGTCTTTTAGACACTCCGTGCTGCAGAGAGAGCTCACGGGCTTGACTGGTTAAATAACTTGCCAGCCAGTTCATTCTGCACATGCCCCTGTGCGATAACCCACCAGTGTCGTGTCAGCATTATCAGCACTTGCAAGTGGCACTGACAGGGCTTTTGAGTCAGGAGAGCCTCTGTGGGCACAGCCACGGTTGTAGCATGGACGTGTGAGAAACCAGACTCAGAGCCAAGGCCTAAGGGCCTCCAGCTGGACTCTAACTATAGGTCACTTACCTTCTAGGACTCAGTTTCCTCCAAATAGACTTGGACTGGATCATTTCTAAGGTTTCTTACAATTCTAACTCCACCAATTCTCCGAAATAAACTTCATGGAGCAAAAGAGAGGAGCTCTCTTGTTACCCTACTGGACACTAAAGCAGATGCCCTTTCTCTCTCCGTCCTCACTCTTTCCCACACGGAGCGTTCTTTAAGGAGATGGTCCCTCTATTCCCGTCACAAGTGGCCACACTGATGCTTTCTTTTGTGGGATGTGGTTTTTTGAGTTAAAGTGTGTTTGATGTGGGTGAGTGCTTTGTCTCAGAAGGCGACTAAGAGACTATTCAAACCTTTGTTTTTAAACCTGCGAATGCTCATCTCCCTGATCCACCCGCCATGGTTTAGCCATAGTGGTGCTTTAAGGCCAGCAGGAGCCAAGCTTATCTCAAGGAACAGCAAGGCGGGCAGCAGCGTGGCGGCGTTGCCATTACCTGTGATGTCTTTAAGGGTCTCTGTGCCTCCAGCCCTTTCTAGAGCCACGGATGAACGCACACAGGACACTAAGTTTCCTACTATGTCATGAAGGGAGGTGAAATTCTCTAGGTTGAAAACATGCATATTGAACGGTTTGCTTGCTATTTCTTTTAAGGCTCCTTCATCTGCATCCTCAACTCCAATTGCAAACACGTTAACGTCAGCAGACTTAAGTTCCGCTGGGGGCAGAGCGAGGCGGTGGTCCGAGTGTCCAACGGTTAACACTACGATAACCTGAGGGACTCCATCCCTGGCCCGGCTTCCAGCAGCCTCAGTGAGGTGGTTCTGTGTTACGTATTCTAATCCTGTTCCGGTCTGATTGCTTCCCTCAATATAAGACAGGTTGGAAATATGAGAGAGAACCTCTTGTGTGGAATGATACGTATTTAACAGGAACTCGGTATGTGGGTTGCCGTTGAACTTGACCAGAGCAAAACGGAAATCATTTTCTCCCACAGCTAAAGATTTTATAACATCATATAGAAACTCTCGAACAAGTTGGAAATGTTCCTTTCCAATGCTCCAAGAGGAATCCACTAGAAATATTATATCGGCAGCGGCACCATTTCTGACATCTTTAAAAAAAGACATTGGTTTAGATTTTTCTCCTGTTCAAGCAGTTACTTCCTATCAGTGCAAAGCCTTCCTAAACTACGTCAGTTTGCACTATGCCCTCACTAAACAATCCACACCTCACTGGCAATGCAGACAGGCAGGCTGACTTACCTGAGGAGTGGGGACCTGGACTCGGACGCAAAGGCTAAGGTGCACCGTCATTGGCCTGAGTTCCCTGCACAATCACTGATTGCACACTGCTCTGGGGCAGGTCCAGGATGGGGGAAAAAATCCCCCAGGTGTCTTTTATCTCAAGCACGATTTTTGTGGCACTTTGAGCCCCAACACCCACTTGACCAGATTGGAAGGATAGCCTATCACAAACGAGCAACCATCATTTTATGAATTCAGTCTTCACTTTTGGGATCTGAAGCAGAGCCCTGATGAGAAGGAACGGTGAAAACGGCTGCCGTCTTACAGTAACTAGCCTCCAATGCTTTGGGTAATCCCAAGAAAAATACACGTAGTAAATAAGTCTTCCTTCAGTGAAGATAACTTGTGTTACTGGAGAGAAAGGCAAAGCCTCATGTTTCTCAGATGGTTTAGCGTGAAGAAAGGGACCTTAACATATTCGTTAGGGCCAGAAAAGCCTTCATGGGTGTTGGAGATAATATCTCTCTCTCAAAGATGAATCCAGTGGGCCCTCATCAGTGGGAGCTGGAGCTGAGGGTGCGGGGACTGCCCTTCTGCAGCCGTGGCCAGGCTGGCTGATCACAGCTGGCTCCTGGTCGCTACTTACCTCGGGCTGATCTGATGCCCAACCAATGGTCCCCTTCCACTGAGGTGGCACCCATTGCCCTCGATCTAACCACTAGCGGTCCGGGCTCTCTCAGCAAAGGAGAGGAGACCCAGTCATCCTCCGAGCTCACAATGCATGAAGCATTTCTCCATTTTCTCAAACTCTGCAAGCAAATTCTTAATTGGGTTCATTAGGATGGATTTTTTAAAATAGTTTGGGGAAACTGGTTTTTAAAAGTTTAGATGATTGTAAATGACAAATGTTTCTGAGTCCAGAACTGCAGAGAGAGGGTACTACTCTCTGTGTTTTGTTTCCAAGGAAAACGATGTTTACTCTCAATGGTTGTCTTCTGGTTTTAAACACTCAGAGACCAACAGGTGCCAGAAACGTGGAAAAGCTGTTCTGATGGTAAAGTATTTGTGACACAAACTTTCTGCTCATGCTCTGTGTAAGAACCAATCACTTTTGAACCAACTTCAAGATATCAAACCCAAGTTCTAGTAAAAGCAAGCCGTCTCTCACTGGGTAGAGTGTCTGAGAAAGTCTGTAAACTAGGTGAACATTCTGCAGTGATCAACCTAGCTGGCTCCTAGAGGAATCTCTAAGCTCTACAGCAAGCTCCTGAGGGCTAAGGTCTGAAATCAGAGAACCCTGCTCCTTTCATAATGGCTTTAAGAGACAGTTCTGGATCTTACCTGCTTGTTGCTGCGCACGAGTTAATGAGAAGCCTGAGAGAAAAAGGCAAAAGATGGCCACCAAGGGCAAATGTCGGTGTTTCCTCATTTTGAGTTTGTCTAAGCACCACGTGTGAACCTGAAAGAGAAAATAGGGCGGAGGAGAATGAGCAGCGTTTGACTCTCAGATTACTACCCAGTGAATTAAGGACTTGTCGCTCTTAAGAAAAATAGTTTTGACTGAATATGTAAATGAGACTCTTTGAATCTAGTGGTTGCATTACTTTGGTCATAGGTAAAAACTGTGCTACTAAACCTTTTTTCCTCTCAAACAGAGGCAGGCAGCAACACGTGTCAGGGTGGAAGAGTCAGGGGTAAGGTGCCCACAGGCTCAGAAGTGGCAGTTTGGGGACACCCAGCTTAACTTTGTGTTTCACATTTAGAGCAAACACCACTCCACCCCCCACCCCACCCCACACTGCCCCCGCCCACACACACACACACACACACACACACACACACACACACACACAGCTTCAGTTAATGGAGGGAACAGATTTCGCCCAGATCATGGCATATGCAAACACAACCACAGCAGCTGGGACCACTTTGAATCTTCCCCTTATTCTCTATTAATATTTATACAAAATCTTAGCTATGGGCATCTCTCCCTGCCCAGGTCTCTATTGGACCCACGTCAGCAGTTTATGGGTGTCTGCCCCTTGGAGTCCACTAACTACAAGTGAGGATCCATGTCCCTTGATGGAGAAGCTCACCACTTCCTTGGGACCGGTTGGAAAGATGGAATGTGTAGCTGACCAAGATTTCTTCAAAGAGGCCAGAACCAATTCTATCATCATCATGAAGTTTCAGGGGCTAGTTCATATCATTGGCTATTCTTTCTGAGCATTAGGAAGTACTTTGGAGTATTGAAAAATGTATAGAGTAGACTACAGTTAGGTGGGAAAAGCCCATTTGGTTGAAGAAACTTAAATCCATTTAATCTAGAGAGATTGGGTTACCACCATAATTGATCCTTCATTGTTAGGGCTTGAAGATTAAAAAGAAGGTCTTGTGAATGAAAAGCATTCAGCTTCAATGTGAATGAAAAACCAAAACCATCTCTCTCAGTTTTCAAGTATATGACAGATTTTTAAATGTGATTCTTTTTCCATTATCTAATCCTAACAGTCCAAATCCTTCTAGATTGCTTTTATATCCCCCTGTCTTAGGAATGGTTTGACTCTTCCTGGGAGAGCTAAGGGGAAACAAGAGCAAATGAGACATGTAGAACAGCTTCTGAAATGTCATCACTATTGACAAAGGGAGGACACTGACGAGACTACACAAGCCTGGGAGAAGTGAGGACAGGATACATCACAAATTGAATGACCTAGACGAAGTGGGTAAATGTCCAGAAACACACAACCTACCAAGACTGAATCACAAAGAAACAGAAAATCTGAATAGACTTAAAATGAGTGAAGAGATTATTTCAGTAATCAAAAACCTCTCAACGAAGAAAAGTCTAGGACCAAATGGCTTCACTGGAGAATTTCCCAAACATTTAAAGAAGAATTAATAATGATCCTTCTCAAACACTTCCAAAAAAAATGAAGAGCAGGAAACACTGTCAAACTCATCCTATGAGGCCAACATTACTCCAACACCAACATCAATCAAAGATATTACAAGAAAAGGAAGCTATAGACCAACATCCCTGATGAGTAGAGATGCAATAATTCTCAACAGAGCACTAGCAAACTGAATTCAACAACACATTAAAAGGGTGATGCATGACCAAGAATTCCTGGAAAGCAAAGAGGGTTCAATACATGAAAATTAATCAATGTAATACACAACATTAACAGAATGAAAGAAAAAAAATACAGAAATATCACATTATAAATTCAGCACCCTTTCATGATAAAAAAAAACACACACACACACTTAAACTAGGAATGGAAGGAAATTACCCTAACATAATAAAGGCCCTATATGAAAAGCCTACTGCTAATATAATACTCAATAGTGAAAAAATATGAAAGCTTTCCTTCTAAGATCAGGAATAAAGCAAGTATGCCCTCTCTCACAACATCTATTAACATAGTATTTGAATTCCTAACCAGAGCAATTAGGCAAGAAATATAAATGGCATGCAAAATAGAAAAGATGAAGTTGAATTGTCTCTATTTGAAGATGACATGATCTCATATGTAGAAAACTAAAAATTACACTCAAAAAATAATAGTTATTAGAACTAATCAACAAATTTAGCAAAGTTACAGCACACAAAATCAACACACAAAAGTTGGTTGCATTTTTATACAATAACAGTGAAGAATCTGAAAAGGAAATTAAGGTGCAAAAATCTCATTTGCAATAGCACTAAAAGAAAGAAAACACTTGGGAATAAACTTAACCAAGAAGGTAATAGACTTGTACACTGAAAACTACTAAACATTGCTTTAAAAAAAGAAAACACAAATAAGTGGAAAGATATCCTGTGTGCATGTATTGGAAGACAGTATTGGTTAAATGACCATACTATTCAAACCAACATACAGATTCAATGTAATCCCTATCGGGATCCCAATGGCATTTTTTGTAGAAATAAAAAAAAATGCTAAAATTCATACACAATTTCAAAAAAAACAACAGAGAACCATAGCAATTTTGAAAAAAAGAAAAAGAAAAAGAAAGCTGGAGGCCTCACATTTCCTGATTTCAAAATATATTAAAAAGCTACAGTAATCAACACAATATGGTACTGGAATAAAGACAGACAATAATCTCAATGGAATAAAACAGAGATCCCAGAAATAAATTCTCACATATACAGTCAAATGATCGTTTATAAGGGTGCCAACGCTACACATGGGCAAAGGATAGTCTCTTCAAGAAATGGTGCTTGGAAAACTGTATAGCCACTTGCAAAAGAATGTAGTGAGACCCTTACCTCACACCATTTATAAAAACTAACTCAAAATGAATCAAAAATCTAAATCCAAGACCGGAAAATATAAAACTCCTAGAAGAAAATCTTCAAAACATTAAATTTGCCAATGATTTTTTAGTTATGACTCCAAAGGTACAGGCAACAAAAGCAAGAATAGACAAATGGACTCAGATCAAACTTTAAAACTTCTGTGCAGAAAAGGAAACAATCAACAGAGTGAAACCCACTGCCTAGCTGGTTAGTATAGTCCTCTGTCTCCATGGAGGGTGACCCAACATTGTATCGTTCACTCTCTAGAAATCCCTCAACAAAGGAAAGCAAATGCAGTCTCCAATTTGTGTGTGTGTTCCAGTAATTGAGGACATATGCTTCAGACCAAGGTAAAAGGACATTGTACATGTGCTTTTCTTGATTCTTTGTGTTGAAATTAAACGTTGGGATTTTTATTCGCAATAAGCATCCTACTGAAAAATGATTTTATGGGGAAATTGTCCACATGATTTAAATTTTACTGGATCCTTTTGGAAATATAGTCTGTCCTTTCCAAAACAACCTATAATATTATAATTGGTCAACAACACTTTAACATGGAACCCACAGATTTCAAAGGATCTGACAGCTCCCCACAAATGTATGCAAAACTGTATGTGTGACAAGGGGTTTCCTGGGGATAGAGTCTAGGTTACATGTGACTCTCCCACTCAAGTGCAAGCACCACTGTGCCAATGAAAGTTTCCATGCTCATCTTCCAGGGGATCCAGCTCAATTGCTTTAAATATCCGATCCAGACACAAGATGCAGGACTCTAAGTAGGATTCCAAAGTAATTCTGTAGTCTGCACTAGAGCTCAGTAAAATCAAAGTCATCCTAGGATGAAAGCTGGAATGTCTTTCTGAGACATTACGTATTTCAACTATTTTCTAGGGAAAATGAGAATTTTAAATTGGTTGAAAATTATATGTAAAGATTTTTATTTCTTAATCTTTAAGACAGCAATCCCCTAAATTAATTGCTTCCTATTGGGACACAGAGTAATGGAATAAATATACAGTGCACAGGATCTGTCTTTTCCAAAATCTATACAGATATTGAAGAGAGGGGAGGGGAGAGGGAGAAGAGAGGAGGGAAGAGGACAAGGAAAGCAAGGGGAGGGGAATGGTGGGGAGGGGAGGGAGGGTGAAGGGAGGGGAGGGGAGAGGAGGGAAGAGAGGGGAGAGAGGGGAGAGAGGGGAGAAGCTCTTCCAACTCTGAAAATGAAGGGCAGGAGAGAAGTTTGTGAGCTAATGAGTTATCCAGGCTCCACTGATGACTAATAACCTCACATGATTTGGTGGAGCTGAATTCCCAGGTGGGAAAAACGCCTTCGGCTCCACACACTTTTCCTGCCATCCCACTTAGGAGCAGCCATGTGGCTCAGGCTTCCTAGCCCAGATGATGAATATTTGTTAATGCTTCTGTTTGCAGTTAAATCTACTCTATTGTTCACCGTGTCATGGAGTCCCAATTTTTTTAAACTGAAGTTCCTCCCAACAAATCTTAGAGAATTTTTTTTCATTTAGATGATTGAAAGATGTCCACATCATCGCCCCAAATGATCCCCTGGCTTTCCCATTTTAATAAGGGAATGAGGCAGTCCCCACCCCGTTATCCTCCTCCAACCCTTCTCCTCCCGCCACACCAGGAAATAGAGCAGTGGGACTTGATACCAACAACCCAATGGCTGCTTACACCTCCCCCTTTCATTGATGGGGAACTAAAATCAGGTGAGACAAAGTGACTCCCCCACAGCCAGGTAGAGCAAACAGGACCAGCATCCTCACCGGAATGAGAACAGAAGCCTGTGTGTCCCAAGCCCCCCAGGAACCCAGGAAGCCCTAAGAGGCTGTGCCAGACTTGGCCCAGATCGAGGGAACTCCCCACGTCTCTTGGGGGAAATAGACTTCTTTGGTGGTGACAGACCACGGAGTCTGTGTCAACAGAACCCGTTTGTTCACTGCTGTCCTTTCAAATACAGAACAAGCCGGCTGCTCGAGACCCTTGGGTTGGGTGGGGCAATGTGCCGCTTTGTGTCAGAGGCTCTGTCCTAAGGCAACAAATTTAATCATAGAACTTCAATGCAGTTTCATTCTTTCTGGCTCGCATTAGTAATTCCTCTTTTTTTTAATCTGTCTCGTTCTCAA